ATGCATACCAATATAACGTTTAATATGTACAACAACTAATAAAGCTGGATACTTAACAGAATCCTGAAATAGAAATTACATTGATGTGATCTATCAAAATAATTTGACTGGGGCTAGGAAGGTGGCTGTGTGGGAGAAGATCTTGCTACACAGGTATGAGGACTTGACTTCAGGTCCCTGAACCCAAGTCAAGCTAGATGTGGTAGCATCCATAGCTGCAGCCCAGCAGCCTGGAAATGAGTAGGCCAGCTAGTTTTCTGTATTCAATGGAGAACAAGAGACACTGTCTCGAGCAAGCTGGAAGGTGAGGACTGATGCTCAAGGTTATCCAGCAGCCTACACTTGCATGCCCACATTCACAGACACAAACAGACTCACACATGAGCACACACACACACATCATCATCATCATCATACACAAAGACTATCAGCACGTATATCTCCAGAGATGTCTCTTCCTACTCATCCCATTGTGGTATGAGATGATGTTAGCCTCATGTAAGTAGAGGAAGAGGGTGAAGATGTGAACGCTCAGCACACACGGTGGCTGGAATGTTTGTAGTAACACAAGCTTTCTTTACCTTTGCCACAGAGAATGCGTTTCTTCCCGTGGATCTTAGCAACCTTACCACACGTTGTTTTCTGTCTTGTTTTAACCAGGCAACTTCTCATGTTTCTTCAAAGAAGCGCGTGTGAAGTTCTCTTAACCAATCTCAGTTGCCAGCATCACTGCTCTCACGCTCTAGAACTGTGCCCACCCTTTGACTGTTGCAACTCTGGGGACACAGGTGAAGCACTGGGAGGCCACACCAGACATCAAACCAGCTGGCACTTTGATCTCGGGTTTCCAGGCCTCCCAAACGTTGAAAAAAAAATCTTTTCTTTGTGAGCTGCCACTTTCTGGCATTGTCTTTTAACACAGAGAGATTAAGACATGCCTTTTACGTACCACATACTGCTCTGAACGCTTAATAGAGCAGTAGAAGTGAGCTAAATACCTCATCTCCTCACACATACCTCTGTTACTGAAATGTCCAGTAATTCATCCTTCAGAACTCTATGTGGTCATAGTTTGTCCACTTACAACTTCACCAGCCTCCTGCAGAAAGATAAAATAATTGAACCGCAATGTTGACATTTTTATACTGACGTGTACTCGTGCCCACATTAAGGCACTGTGATGGAGGAAGGTCATTGGTTAATTAATAAGGAAACTGCTTGGCCTGATAGGTTAGAACGTAGGTGGGTGGAGTAAACAGAACAGAATGCTGGGAGGAAGAGGAAGTGAGCTCAGACGCCATATCGCTCCTCTCCAAGGCAGATGCGATGAAGCTCCTGCCCAAGATGGACGTAGGCTAGAATCCTTCTCAGTAAGCTACTGCCTCATGGCACTACACACATTAATAGAAATGGGCCAAGCAGTTTTTAAAAGAATACAATTTGTGTGTTGTTATTTAGGGGCATAAGCTAGCCAGGCGGCTGGAAGCTGGGTGGCAGGAATGCAGCCCGCAGCTCATTCAACAGCACTGTACTTGACCCTTCCCCTCTCTGGATGGCCTCACATGCCTCCTGCCTTCTCATCCTTATACCTCTGCCACTCCTCCCGCCATTCATCCTCACCCTGTATCCAAAGGCTTTCCTCAAAGGCACCCAGGCCTCCCACCTACCATCCCAGAAAGCAGGGCAATTGGGTGAGTACCCTGAGCTCAAGTCAAGACCTAATTGTAATTCAGGCCTTTTTTTTAATTCCTCAAGGTATTTTCCAACTCTCTATTTTCCATGTGGAGTCAACCAGAGAGCCCAAAGAACTCAAATATTTGTGCCTTCAAGGCTACTCAAAGACAGTTTCCAGCCCTCCTATTGAGGGAGCCTGCCAATGGATTGCTCTAGCTAGCTGGTACAATATTGTCATGGCAACAAGCAAGATTGGGAAGTTGGAGCAGTACTGACACAATCATTTGTTTATGTAGATACAGGCCACAGATATGCTGGGAGTGGCACTGGTCCCTATAGCACAAATCACATTATAAAGGTTCACTGTTACAGGTTTGCATGTTTTCCGAATACTGGCCCACCACTGACTAGGACACAGCAACTTCCATTAAGAGGGTGACTACAGTTTTGGTGATCACTATTAGCTGTGCAAATTTAAACGGTTGCTGAAAACAAATCTATTCAACAAATACATGCTGAGTGGGGAAATCCCATGGCTGCTATATTAAACTAGAGCGTTCTCCTCTCCAGACTGTAAGGTCTGAAGACAAAGGATTCGGCCTGATTCATCTTGGTGTCCATACTGGTAAAATGTCTGTCATCTGGGAGGGCATGAAATCAATATGTTTAAATGCAAAATTACACGAGTGAAAAGTAAGCAAACTAATGAGTGTATATTACCTACATTAGAGGGTCTTAACCTTGTCTTCCCATATGAATCACCTGGGGAACTTTTTAGACCACGCAGTGCCTAAGACCAGATTGAGCAGGAACTCTAGGGATGCATCTGAGGCAAGAGTGTATTAAACTTCTGTGGGAAATTCCAGTGCACAGCTGATTAAGGACATCCCGAGCAGCCATCCAGTCTTACCTGGGACTGAGGCATCTTTCTGAATGAAGGAATTTTTAGTGCTAAAACTGTCACTGTCCTAAGGAAGCCAGGGTGGTTCATCACTTGTGCCGATTCAAACTGTCACCCAGGACGATTCTCGAGTGATGCATTTTCAATTTTTTGAAAATCCAAAATTCAGGGACTTCATGTTTTTATTTGACACTTACCTAATTACATTCAGGCCTGTAGCTCACCTTGACCTCAATCGCTCCTTCTTCCATGGACTCCTGTTCAGGCTTGTGCTACTATTGACTTGGGCAGCATGCAAATTTGTGACATATAAATAATGCAGGGAATGACTGAACCATTGTAGTATGTTCTTAATGACCAGCCGACCAGCTAAAAGAAGCAAAGTGAATTCTCTGTGTGTGTGTGTCTCTCTCTGTGTGTTTCTTCCGCTCTCTTCCTGTGTCTCCCCCCCCCCCGATATCTCTCTCCCGGATAAATATTAAGTTGATCTAATCTTTATTTAAAAAGAATTTATTTAGAAAGAAAGAGCGCGGATGATGCTGAAAGATGGCTCAGCATATCAGAGCACTTGTACTCTTATAGAGGACAAAGGTTCAATTCCCAGCACCCACGTGATGGTTCACGACCCTCTATAACTCCAGTTCTAAGGGATCTGACACCCTCTTCTGACCTCCACAGGCACCAGGCATATGCATGGTATATATAGGCAAAACACTTGTACACATAAAACAAAATAAATAAATCTTTTTTTTAAAAAATCTCTTTTTAAAAGAAAACAGCATGGAGGCTAGGATCCTCAGACAACTCAGATCAGAACAACTGTGTGATGTGGCTGTCCCAGAGCCCGGTGTACATCAGAAAGAAATGAAATCAGTAGAGCAAGGAAACATCTACATGCTGGTGCCTATTGCAGCACCATTCACGATACTCAGGGCAGGGACTTAACTCAGATGTTCATCACCAGGCGAACGGCTAAAGAAAATGTGGTGTCTTTATACAGAATGCAATAGTATTCACCAGAAGGAAACAGAGAAACATACCCTTTGCAGCAACACAGATGAAACTGGAGGACACTGTGCTAAGTGGAAATAATTAATTAATTAAGCACACAACGGCAAATACTGCAAGTTCCTCTTAGATTTGGAAACTAAACGTGGATATCACAGAAGTGGAAAGATAAATGGTGGGGGAGGAGGGAGTGGGGGTGTTTAATGTATTCAGGGGTACAGCCTGTTAATTGTAGTAACCGTACTGAAGAACTATAGGAAAACGAGGTTGACAACTGCCTATATATTTGAAATAGATAATAATGCCTATATATTTGAAATAGATAATAAAGGAAATTTTGAATGGTCTCAATGCACACACGCACAAATGTTCTCTACTGGTCTCTGCTTGCGATTCTGATTTTATCCATACAGACAGTGTCTGTGTGTCTAAATGTCACACAATAGTCCACAAATATACACTTACTGTGTCCATTAAAATAAAAAATAGACTTTTAAAAGATGGGAAATAAGAAGCAATTATAAAATGACACCTTCCAAAATCAATCCCAGGGAACCTTCACTTTTTTTTTCCTCTGTAACTTAGTAACATACATTTTCACATATTTCAGTTACCCCGGCATGAGTTTTGCAATCCATGTTGCTATCTAAGAAGAGAAAAGATTTTCTTAATAGAAAAATCTGTGTAAATGAAATTAATAGGCATTATTTCAAACAATAATCAATTCATTCCAAGAATATGATGTATACTATACCCATCAACTTGCGGGCACCAGGCTCAGACTTGGGAAGGGAGTACAACCCAAAGCTCTTAAGGAGTTTGTCACCCAAAGGGTAATCCCAGGACAGGGGCAGCAGCATTTCCTGAGAGCCGGTTAATGACAGAGGATGCAAGATATTCCTACTGCCTTCTAGGCTGCACCTGTGCTCAGATACAAAAACAGTTGCTGGGGTATGTGTGTGTGGACTGCATGCTTTATCCAGACTGCCTGTCCCAGCAGAGTCTTCGGTAGAGACACAAATGTCATCTCTGCTTCTAGCCACACTTGACTGTTTGGGACTGAAATGTAACAAGGGCCGGGCACACACCTATTATCCCAGCACTCAGGAAGCCAAGCTGGGAATATCCATGAGCTTAAGGCCAGGCTGATCTACATATTGAGACCCTGTCTTAAGTAGACAGACAGACAGACAGATGGTGAATAAATGAATGAATGAAATAATGAAATTTTTCTACAGTACACAGGAAAGCCCCGTGACAAAGAAGGATCCTCCCCCAAAATATCTATGGAGTCACACAGCTCCTTAGCTTGCCCTTGGGGAAGAGGGATCCATGGAGGAGTGGCTGAGAGACTCTTCTTGGCATGACTAACCACTGTTTCTCTCTCCCTCCTTTTTTTTTCTCCCACTTCGCACAGGAGCCAATGCATCTGCCCCAGACCAACTGAGCTTGGCTTTAGCCTGGAACAGAGTTGACATCGCTCGCAGTCAGATCTTTATTTACGGGCAACAGTGGCCGGTAGAGTATACATCGTTACCCCTGAAAAGCCCACGTGCTTGGCAATAGTATTTAAGGAACCTCTGAAAGAGGCTCAGAAAATTGGGGCGGATGTGGGGGGAGGAGCAATCACCCTTTGCTTTAGAGCTATACGGGGCTTGGGCGCCCTTCTCGTGTTTGGGGACATGCTGCCACCTAGTGGAAGATATAAGTAGGCGCACCACCAACCTTTCCCAGGCTCTTCTCAGCAATTTTCAGATGCAAATCCTATTTTTATTCTATCTTTAAAGATACAGATAAGACAGCGTTAACATAAATGTAGGAGAGGATTCGTATGTTACTGGTTATCTTTCAAGAGAGCAGAAGGAGGAAGCTGCTGCCGCCAAATGTCGGCACTCATGCTGGTTTGCTTTTGGGCCAGGCATCTCTGTGTGTAGGTACCATCTGGTCCTGGTGGCTGAACACAGGTCTGCCCTATACCCGGCACAAGTGAACCAAAGCTTTATATAACTGTCCGTGGCTTTTTTTTTCTGTTGCTTGGGTGCCAAAAGTAAGAATTTGGGAAACGGGATGTACGCACCCACCCACGGGTGCCAGCCCAGCACTCGCGTGGAAGTAAGGCTTCCCAAACCTTCCACCCCCAGAAGCTCTGGCCGTAGCTGAGCACCTGTCTTCACGGTGTTCAGGGACTGATAGTCGGGGGCATATTTGTCAAGAAATCTGGATGTTGACAAAAAATAAATAAATAAAATAAATGAAAACTGCAAAACGAATACAAGTCCCAGTCAGTGCTCCATCTAGAAAATACATTGTTTTAGTTAAGAGGCCCCGGTTTGTCTCTGGAGTGTCCATTTCTACCCAGAGATTCCATGCCTATTGGACCCTAGGCTCTGTTTACCTGGATTCCTATCCTTAAGTCAGCCAGGGCCCTCATTCAGAGCCTATGGAAGAAGAAAATGAAGGGAGGGGAGGAGGGTCTAGCATTGCCTGCATAGGCATTACAGAAGCCAGAGAATCTGTCAGGAGGAAAACCTGGGGTCCTGAAGCTCCAGAGTAAGAGATTTAGGGGAGAAAGTAGCTTCTAGATCTGTAAATCCAAGAGTGGCGCTGGCGGGGGTGGGGGGGTGGGGGGGGGGGGAGAGGTGGCAGGGGAGGGGTGAGAGCCGGGGGCGGGGACCGGTTCTCTCTGGTATATCTGGAGATTTTCACAGGCCACCAATGGGTTTCAAGCCCTCAGGGTTAGCACGGGGGAAGTGCTCTTCTCTGCTCTGGGCAGACTAACTGAAGGTCTTCAATTACAGGTAGGGTCCCTGGAGCAAGCCATGCTGGACGCCCTGGTTCTGGACAGAGTGGATTTTGTAAAATTACTCATCGAGAATGGAGTAAGCATGCACCGTTTCCTCACCATCTCCAGACTAGAGGAACTGTACAACACGGTAGGGCCAAGCCAAGATGCCTTCCAGCTTCCGTTCTTCTCTTTGTCTACCTTCTCCGGCCTTGCCCCCGCCCCCATGTCTGTGATTCTTTTCCTGTCTCTCCTTTAATGCATGGATCGCTCCTCCCATGCCCTCCCTGGCACCTGGACAACCTACAGACGCCAAGTCACCACGACTTGCCTTGTTCTAGCTGCTCAGTTGTAAGCATCTTAGGCAAAAGGGAACGTGATAATCAGAGGCCACTGTTCTCAGATTCTAACACAAAACCACCAGCCAAGTCTCTGTCGATCAGAGCTCACATATTCTGTAAGCCTCAGAGGTGTTTGAGACAAATATTGCAGGAGAGGGTTGGTTTCGCACCAAAGCAGGCTGATTAAGTATTCTGTATCATTATGTCATCCTCAGAGTGATGAAGTCCATTTTTCTCACCATAGTATAAAATACCTTGGAGTCCAAAAATGTCTTATGATGGTTGTGGTTCTTTGCAGCGGCATTCACCAAAAGAGCTACCCAAGTTTAAAGAACTAGTGCTGGTTTTTGCCATTTCACAGATGAGAAAACTGAGGTCCTTAGTCTGTTGGTGCTGCTACAACAGAATACCTGAGGCTGGATAATTTATGAAGAACATAAATTTCTTTCTCACAGTGCTGGAGGCTGGAAGTTAAGACCAAGGGGCCAGTAGGTTCATCACGTAGTGAGAGCCATTCTCCCTTTCCAGAATGTATCCACTACAAGAGACAGACACAGTCAGTCCTCTTAGGGCAGAAAGGTTGGAAGTACGAGAGTGGGAACCATTTTCTGCCTAGACCTCAATTCCACTTACAAAGTAGGTACTTTTGTGACCCAATCACCTAGAGTCCCGCCTCTTCACACTGCTGTACTGGACATGAAGCTCAACATGAATTTTGCAGCCCCCGAAAGTGTAAAGTATAGACAGAGTCTAAGGAGTGCTTTATCTAAGGTCCTAAGTCTCTGAGAAACAATAGAAAGAATCCAGTAACTAACCCCAAGCCTCTTCTCAGACGTTTCATTTCCATGCACTGTCCACAATGGCTGTCCTGGTACCGTGCATGCAATGCATTATAGACAGTTCCCCACCAAGAGGCAGGAGACAGATAACACCAGTGTGTTTCGTCTCAGTCCGCTAGAGGAGGGAAGCCGTCTGACAGAGGGCACCCAGGCTTCTGCTTTCCCTGCGGGCTTGTCTGGCTCAAATCACTGAGACTTCCAGTGAGAAGTAAATACACCTGGGCATCAGGACTCATCAGTTAGACAGAGTTGGGGTGGAAAGGTTTGAAGCCAAAAAGAATGTGAAAACCCCTGGTCCTGAACCTTAGATCAACAGGTTTCATTACTCCAGTCAACCGACAGTGGTCAGCTGCAGTACCGTGTTGAGAAAAATTATGGGACAGCGAATGGCAACAATGGTACTATACTAATGCTATCTATTACTTACTGAAAGCTGAGCACCGTTTTTGAACTTTATAAGGAGGCATTGCATCGTTTAATCTCAAGTAGCCCAATCAGAAGAAGCGGTGTACTCTCCTCATTGTAAAGAGGAGAAAACTGCGTCCCGGGAAGCTCTGCCATCCCTCTATTGCACACCCAGGCTGGGGCAGGAGCCTCAAGCTCAGAGCATTCCCAGTGTTTCAGGCTCTGCGGTCATGTTGTCAGATTTAGCCAATAGCTGCAGCACACCAGCAGAATTTGGTTTTCAGAAAAGCAATGAGTGTTAGCATAAATACAGTCATCCTTCATATGGCATAGGAGTCGTCCTAGGAGTTACCACAGAAGAAAACAACACCTTCAAATGCTCACATTCCTCATCTAAATGACATCAGATTTGCATAGAATCCACACACATCATCCAACTTTTGAAAATATTACCTCTTTTTGGAAGCTAAATAATGAAGCAACTAAACCAGGAACATTGCGCTCTCCTGTACAATACCCACTACGAGATGAACGCCATCTAAACAGTTATTAGCCTGTATCTTCTAAGGCAGTGTTTCTCAACCTGCGGGTGGTGACCCCTATAGGGGTTGCATATCAGATATTTACATTATGATTCATAACAGTAGCAAAATTACAGCTATGAAGTAGCAACAAAATAATTGTATGGCTTGGGTTCACCACAACATTAAGAGCTGTATTAAAAGGTCAGAACATTAGGAAAGTTGAGAACCACTGTTCTAAGGAAAGATAAGAAAACTATTTGTACATATTCAATACACACACAATTTCGCCCAAATGTTTTCAATCCAGTGGTGGCCTCAGCAAATACAGACATCATGAGCACGGAGGACTATTATTCCCAGTACCGCATGGGGCATCATTGCTCTTCTGAAAATCAAATTTCACTGGGATTCTGTACTTTACTCAGCATCCCTACTTCTGAAAGACCACAGAATAACAAATCATCTACTTTTTTTTTTTTTTTTTTTTTGAGACAGGGTTTCTCTGTAACTTTGGAGCCTATCCCGGAACTAGCTCTTATAGACCAGGCTGGCCTTGAACTCACAGAGATCCACCTGGTTCTGCCTCCCAAGTGCTGGGATTACAGGTGTGAGCCAACACCTCCCAGCTTCATCTACTTTATTCTAAGCCTCAATACATCCATACCCTTTACTGACCTCTTTTTCCCCAGCTTGCTTATGACCTTCCCGTAAGTCAGATGCCAGGGACCTATCACCAAAATATGAAGCCCTTCCACTATTTCTGTCCAACCTGGGAACTAAGAATGACTTTCTTTTATATTTCATGGTTGAAACAACCAAAGAAAGTCGCAATACTCTATGACATGTTAAAATTTATGAAATCCATCCAGATAGAGCAGCAGCTGTGTGTAATCCCAGAACTCATAAGGCTGTGGGGGGAGGGCTGTGATTTTGACGACAGCTGAGATTACACAGTAAAAAGCCCTCTGCTAAAAAGAATTCTATGGAATTTGATTTTCTGTGACCATGAGTAAAGTTTTGATGAAACCTAGCCAAGATCACTTGTGTACGTACAGGCTGTAGCTGCTTTCATACAGTAACAACAGCTGAAGAGATTTGAGAAAGGCTGTATAGTCTACAAGGATTCGCTACCGACTTTCTGGCCTTTTGCCGAGAAAGCTGGCCAATGCTTTTTTGAGACAAGTTTTTAATGACAGCTTGGAAAACTACATTAAATCAAATGAAAGTGTTTCTATGGCAATGTGTCAAACCCTCTGCTTTGTCCTGCCGGGAAACTGGCTCTTTCCACACCATTTGGCCCAGGTATCTATTAGTTGGCAATCACCCTGACAAAGTTTGAGCCTACAACTTCAAATACACTTTCCTGGAGAACATGTGATCCGAAATCCAGCCAGCCTTGGTTTCAAAGTAACAGACACAACTGAGCAACTAGAACAAGGCCTTGCACCACGAGCCGCCCTCCACCAGCCAGAACCTTTCCTTCCAGCTCCCTGCTCCCTCCTGCCTCGTCACCCAAAGCCCCTGATTAGCAAAACTGTTTGATTGTTCTTTATCATTTTCAGAGACATGGGCCCTCAAACACATTGTACCACTTGGTCAGGGATGTCAAAAAGGTAAGAATCCTCTAGACCACAGGTCAGAGGCCCTGTCCTGAGTGCTTCCTGTGATAGATTGTACCTGTAATGCATGAGCTGCCCAGTCTCCATGTCCCTGCCAGCCCCCACCATCGCAGAATGGTGTATGTGCATCTGCTTTGTAGCTTGGGCTCCTCTGCTGACAATGCCGCTGTGGTCCTTCCTTCGGTTGCCATGGTTTTAGATGCTTTCACTGAATGTAACGCTTTTCTATAGCAGACTCTAGGCTTTCCCCCCCATGCCAACGTGGATTTATGTCATTACCTATAGCTTGCCAAATGCCCGACACTGTTTGGGGGAGTAAGTTTCCATGGTAACTTACCACATGAGGTGCCTTCCTGCCAGCTCCTCATAGCATCCTATCTACCTCACATAATGAGGTAGAGACAAGGGTGCTCGTCTATGCAGTCCATCCTCCTAACACTTCAGTTTTCCAAACTAAACTTTATGTTCATCTGTTTGATTGTTTTAAGCTGGTCGGTGCAAGTGAGTTGTTCACAGTTTATGGAGAAGGCTGAAGAGTTAGGAGGAGAGGACTATATTCAATCATTTGTAACATGCTAACATCATCACAGATACTTTATCAAGGAAAAGCAGCAATGACTAAGGCTTACTGGTGATGGGGTACACAATATTACATAGGCTTTCTCCAGCTGAAATCATTACCCTTCACAAAAACTGTCTGAAGTAGGATTGTAATAGCCTCGTTCCTGTTGCATAAAATTCTCATTTAATGTTGAACATAGGAAGGTTATGTTTAACCTTGGCATGTATTTGCTCTTTTGCCCCAAACAGTCTCTTTTAGTAGTAGCTTGGCTTCAGAACCTTTAACTCCAAAGAACAAAACAGAAACTGTTGACCTTCCCCACCTCATAGGCATGCTGTAGTACTGCGGCAGAACCCAAGGACATACTAAGAGAAGGGACCTGGACCAGCAGGTTGTTCTTCAATGGCAGGTTCCTGACAGGGAGGACCGTAGGATCAGAAAATACAGAGGCCAGAAAAGTTGGAATCAGGCAGTCTTGCATAAACTGTGCCATACACCAAGCAAGTTTACTAAGAAATAATAGCACCTTCTATACAGTGTGCAGGAGAAAAATTAAAAAGTCAGCAGAAAACCATCATACGATGGGACAGAGTCAGAAAGAAGCCAGTCAAGCAAAACTGCCCAAAGAGAACCAGGGATATTTCAAGTGTACCACAGGCTTGGCAGGACTGATGACCGCAGTCCTTCGGGATGGGGTAGGGGGAGTCCTAGGAAGAGAAATCTCAGTTCTCCCAGAGTCCTGGCCCCAGGTCATTTTCTGGACTTGCCAAACATGTTCCTGGTTTTAGATAAGGAACTAAGTTCCTTCTCCATGCATCGTGGACTCAGGGAAAGTCCTAGACTGGTTTGACTCTCAAATGAGAATCAAAAGTACAAGACAAGTACATCATCTCGTAGAAAGTCTCAACTACACTGACCCTTAGTAAACTGTAAGCAACTCTTGCTATTGTCTTCAAAGTGCTGGAGGCCTGGGAGCTTCTTATAATTGGCCTATTTTAATCTACTGGGCCTTCGTTAAGAACAAGTAAAGGATGTAAGAACAAAAACAAAACCCACAACCACCTGAAAACACTGGTTTTATTTTTCCTTGCTACTACAAACTTTCCTTCCATCTCCACACAGCCATATTGAAGGATTGTCCAGCTTTGTGGGCAAAACCCATAACTCTTGACATCAAGGGAAGCAGACCCTGTGTGCTTGTTTACCCAAATCACGACTTTACTGAGACCCCAGCTTTCCTCAGCCCTTTCCAAGCCACCGTGCGTGGCATCTGTGCCTCCAGAAAACCCATTTCCTTCGCACATTCTGCTTTCCCTTAATTTATCCTGACTTCGATTTTTCTGGAAACTATTCTCAGGTGATTAGGGTCCCACTCACTCTGCATATTCTTTGCTAAGCATTTAATTCTTATGTTCAATAAATTTCAAGCAGTTCTAAAATAATGAATATGACACCATCTCCTCACCTCAGAGCAGTCTGTGTTCGGTTAGAACATGGGGCTTTCTGATGATTTAGCTAGGCTTTGGTCCCAGAATCCCGTTCATCAGCCAACCTAAACCTTGGAACACACGCGTTTTCCCTGCCCCCTTCCTGGCAGTCAGGTCTCGCCTTTCAAGGAGATTTTTGAAGTTATAGTTCCTTGAGCAGAAATGATCACCATCTCATATTAGCTTCTCTCAGCTAAATGATCTCTCATATTAGCGTCTCTTCTCGGAAGATTTCCACTCCGCTACAGCAGTAGCCATTAGCCAAAGCTCCTTGAGCTGTCTCCTGCCATTGTTTGTAACGAGTCTTGTTAGAAGGCAGGCAGCTAATCCTTAAGGTGCTCTCTTCCCTTTTCAAAGCTTCTCGGCTGTTAATGTACCTTGAAAATGACATAGATTAATAAGGAAAGGATGCTAAGAACATGGGAGGAAGGAACGTTAGCTAAGAGCAGCCGTTCAGAGCGACAGGAATAATAGCACGAGAGGAGAGTTGGGGGAGCATTCTTTGACTCGCTCACTTAGGGACTGGAGGAGATGGCTTTGAAGCTCATCCAGAATCGCACTAGACTGGCCTAGCAACAGTTTCTCCCTTTACTTGGAGAGCAGACTGTTAGTAAGAGGAGGGCAAAAATAACATCTGTATTTAGTTTATTCTCTCGGAAGAAGTAGAATCAGGAAATAAAGACTCATCTCTCTGGCTACTGAAGGAAAGGAAGGAATAGCCTTCTCTTCTGCAAAGAAGCCACATATCAACAGTTTATGTTCACAGATGAAATGATATGGAAATGAGACTCCTTGTTAGGTGTTTCTCAAAGACGGGAAAGTTTCACATCTGGGCGCAAATTTCTCCCATAAGACTTTTTCTAATTTAGGCCAAGTACTTACTCAGGGGATCCAAAATCTAGGTTTAAAATCCTAAGAATGTCCTGGGACATTTAATTTTTTTTAATTAAAGAATATAATAAGTATTAAGGAATATAATAAACTCCTCTTTCCTTATAGGCATGTGTATATATATATATATATATATATATATATATATATATATATATAATTCTGAGAAAGTTTTAACTGGTAGTCATAATACAATGTATATTCACATACATGTGCATGAGTTAGAAACATAGTTCTGGACTTTAAACATAATAGATAGTGAGATATCTCTGAATTAAATGTAAACAATGCCTACAAATCCAAGAATACATCTTTTAATTATCAGATCACCATAAGCCAATCAGGTCATCTTTAAGTCCCACTGTTCTTTGAAACCAACAGAAATGAGTGAGGAGAAATGCTTCCAAGCTAGTCTCATGATCTCAAATTCTTTCCTATCTAGAGAGCAATCTACAAGCAGTGTGATAAAGAATCGCTATTCTCCATCCACCAGGAGTTTGAACTGATATAAGGCAAACCAATTCGGTCAAGCGACTTGATGCATAAATCCATCAGCTATACTCGTGGCTTCCCTCTTAAGCTAGCGGCTCAAGTCTGTCTGCACACTCCTTTAACATATAACCTGCCCTTTCAGTAGCTGCCTGCTCGGTCTGTGGCTTCGGATGTTTTAAGTCGTAGTTTCTCTTTCTTCAATTAACTGTGCTAACACTTCAGATTATCTGTGTGCTCCTTCCCTGCCAGAGGAGGGGGATTTGAGTAGAATACAGAGGCCACAGTGAAATTAAGATTTAAAGTTCATTTACATGGGAACTAAGACCAGTTTTGCTGACTATAAGAGAGGGGGAGGAATAGAGAAGGGGGAGGGAGGAAGAGAGGGAAAAAGGAAGGAAGGAAGGAAGGAAGGAAGGAAGGAAGGAAGGAAAGGGTTTTTGAAATTTTGGATAAGAAAAGGAGACCTTCAGAAGCCCATAAGATAAATTCATGCAAATTTGTAGGAACACTCTTATTTTAAAAAAATAAATGATTGCCTGTTATTTTTTTTTACTTTGCTAGCCTACTAAACCATGGGTGACCTCCTTACTTCCTGAGTGCTCCCCAGAATGAGCCCTAACCAGTGATTATTTTTCCCCCATCAAGCCTGTCTGTCCCCTCGTCTTTTCCACACTCTCCTTTGCTGAACCTAACAATCAGCAATCATTTAAGACTTTCCACACCCTGAAGAAACAAGCTTGTTTTCAAGGCTTGCTATGTGTTTCAAATGGGGAAAAAAAAAGCAATGTTCCTAAACAGTTCAAACCTGACAGCCATACCATGAGCTGACGCCTAAAGACAGTTCATTCTGAGTTTGAACTGCTCCCAAGGACATCTTATAGCATGGCATGACTTAAACTTTACCTTCGAGTAATGGTTCAGAGCATGAGGACAACATTCTCAAGTTGTCAACCTGCCTCCCGATCCTCTCTATGAAGTAACTTGAAGCTCAGGGCCTGCTCTGTGTTGTTAAGACATGAAATGGGGGCTCGTTCTTGAAGCTTTGCCCATTCCCAAAGTCATGCCCCACAGGGTGGGGACAGGATTAAGAACAGCAGACAGCGTAAGAATGACTCTGGTCTCAATTTTTTGAATTCCAATTTGGAAAGATCCAAAGCAAAGGAAGACTCCTTCAGGAGGCTGTTGTCACAACCTGTTGGGCATTCAAGGTACCACTCACCCCTTCAGCCTCCTCCAGAGCAGGGGAAGCGAGAGCACAGATCCATCCACATCACTTCCTTGACCACCTCCAACCCCACACACCAAACTCCGGAGGACACCAACCCCGAGCACTCCGCGCAGTGCTCTTTGCCCAATGGGGAGCAGTAGAAAGTGAAAGCAGTTGATGGATGCTGATTAACAGTCGAGCTTCTAGAAGCAGGCGGGACCTAAGGAGCGAAGGTCCCTGATTTCTGATTTTAGAACACAAAGTGAGATATAGAAAAGGATAGAGTCACGCAGAATTGAGCTAACAGAGCCTAGCCCCGTGCTGTTTGCCCTGGGGACTCATGTCTCTGGCCTTTCTGGGCATGAATACCTGCAAGCTGCCCTTCGGTCCAACAGTTGTGTCCCAGGATAAGCAATACAGATGCCTCGTCATTGCTGTGTGCAGACCACGCCAAATCAGGGCATGATCCTCAGCACGTAACATGTATCCAGGATGCAGTTATCCCAACCAAGGATGATGAAGGGAATCTAGCTACTCAATTTTGCTACTGAGAATAGAACACAAAAAGCCCAACCCAGGCTGGATCCCAGACACATCAATTTTTTTTCTTTTGCTTCACTGATACATACTTTCAACAACAAAATCCCAAGAACCAACCACATGGGAAATATAAAAATTTTAAAAAGTTCAAGAAAAATTTAAAACTGTACATTGAAGCTGTTTTTAACCAATTAAATGGATTTCCTACTGCCGGAGTCCCATATCACATTCTGGTGATCTGTAAGTGGACTGCTATTGCCCCAAACGAAGCTATTTTGCAACAAAAGGTGACAAAACCACCTAATTTTGTGAAAGTTTTCATTCCAATGTTAAAATTTCTTCTCTGATACACACACACACACACACACACACACACACACACCCTTTCAGCGCAAGCAACACTCCTACAGTTCCATTCTGACACTATGAAATGCCTTCCCTGATTCCTGTTATTTACCTAGTTTGGGGGAGGGCCAGTATATGTGACCAGCTAACAGAGGTCTTGTGTTTAAGTAGAATTGATCTCTAAGTGGTCCCCGCCCCGGTAGCGACACTCATCTTCTGAGAGGAGTCTTTTTTTTGTGAGTGGGGGGATACCCAAAGGGCCTACAAGAGGTAGGCCTGGGTCAGAGAGAGGCTCAGGAGCATCAGGGGACCCTGCATCTAGAAGCTGGGAATGATAGCCCTTGCCTTGTCTAGCCTGTGTTTCTTTCTGCTACACTGGTGTTTTTTTCTCCCCAGCTGAAGACTTGAATAAATAATTTGATTTTCTGTTATTGCCGGCGATTACCGCATCTTCTTATTTAACTTATGTCTTCTTTCCAAGCGAGAGTATCCAGGTTTCGGTTGGATCTATTTTAAGGTGAATTAATTAACCAGCATAATAATACATTCATGTTTCTTTTTTCATTATAATTTTTACTCTAAAATAGTTACAGAACACTTGCCAATGAACCCCTAGTAAACCATGCCGTCTTTTTGGGTTTGTCTGTTGTTCCCGTCATCTCTAACAGGGAAACCTGCCCCCGGACTACAGAATCAGCCTCATAGACATTGGCCTAGTGATTGAGTACCTGATGGGCGGGGCTTACCGCTGCAACTACACCCGCAAGCGCTTCCGGACCCTCTACCACAATCTGTTTGGCCCCAAAAGGGTGAGTTTCTAACATGTTCTGAGATTCTTTTGGGGAAGACTAGGGAGGAGAGATTTCGGGTCTTCTTGTCTCCAAGGGAAAACAAATTGAAAAGACAGAAAGCGCACCCCCCCCCTTTTTCCATCCAAATTATTGAAATTTATTATTAAATATAAAATACTGGGCAAACAAATTCTATCTGCTGCTTTCCTTGTGGTGACAGTCCCACTTTGGTCATTCTAAAAACGTCTCTCTAGAGTTACAGTCTAAATAACTAGTCTCTCTGCTAGTCTTTCCTTCAAATAAAAATGATCTTCCATTGGGGGAGGGACTTCGTTTTTGGATTTTCTATCTTGCATTTTCATGTCTACAGTTCAATTCCAGCAAAAACCTGCACTTTCCTCGGGAGTCACTGGGTCAGAACTACTATGGCAAAAGAAGTCCAAGCAGGGACAGTTTCCACCTATGTCCCACAGGATGGCAATAAGGCATTTCTAGAACATGTCTTCATGGCTCGATTTAGCCAGTGATTCAGTGTGTACGTCTTGAGGATGTTCTTAAGTGAAGCTTGTTTGCGTTTGTGTTCGTTGGTTGTTTGGTTTGTTGTTGGTTGGTTCATTTTGTGCCTAGCACTGGGATCTAGGAACAGTCCCCAAGTTGCTCCATCGCCTTTTCTCCTGTCAAGCTAAGGTCCCCACAGCTTTGAGTCGCTAGTGTTTTCGTAAGCCAGGACCCTCAAAGGCGTGTATTACTAAAAATATTGCTTGGACTTCACTCCCTGAAGGGCTGGAGAACCCTTAGGATCCCAAAAAGACACCTGGAGAGCAATTGGCTCTGCTGGTAGGGGGCATGAGATTTTTTCCCTTTTTCTCTCTTTTAAAAAAATATTTATGAGTTTCTTAATGTTTGGGTTTTATGATTTTTCCCTTTATGTAGTGTTTATTTTTGTTTTTCTGGGTTTTTGTTTGTTTGTTTTGTTTTTTAACAAAGTTTTCCACTGAGGAAAATATTTTGTGGATCTATTAGAAAACCAGGAGAGGGGGAACAAAATGTTTGAATAAAGACAAAAAATGTAGACTTGTGGTAATTTTAGAAGCCAAAAGAGAAAAGGAGAGAGACAGCGTCAAGCTATTCTAAGTTATATAATCACATCAAATTACAGGAACTGTCAGCTCCTAATTCTTATGTCCTTGGTAGCTTCCGAAATGACACCCACTGCCCTGATGCACTTAGGAGATGGAATTGGTACCCCTGGCCCATGGGTGTTATTTTGTTCTCCCATTCTTAAATACAAATTCCCAAGTGGCTTTTTCCGTGCCCTCAGTTGTGCCCATTTTACAAACACCCAGCAAGGCCAAGGAAGCCACTCCCTGTGTGGGGATGCCCTCCATGTCACTGAGCAACTCCTGCCACCAACAGCACCTGCTAAGGCCCGCACACCCTTGCTCTGCTGCGCAACACTGGAAGATAGCCAAAGAAAACATCTAAACAAACATTTCGAATTATACCCCAACTCTCTACATAACAGAAGTTTTCCAGAGGTTTGAGAAATATCTGGTTTGATCTGTTGGTTGTTTCATTTTTCATCTGTCTTCTCTGCTCAGACTACTGTAGCAAAATACCAGAGGCTAAGGGGCATATAAACAACATCAATGTATCTCCCACAGCTCCAAGGTCAAGAACAGGGTACCAACAGGCTGAGTGTATGCATAGGGCCTGTTTTCTGCTTCCTAGGTGGTACCTTCTATCTGTGTCTTCACACGGGAAAAGCCAACCAACTCCCATCAGCCTTTCTGATAACGATATAACTTTCTTTCAGAAGGCATCTTCCATCGTGATCTAACACTCTCTCCCAAATACCCACCTTGTCAGTTAGAATTTCATCATCTGATGCAGATGGGTGGGGAGGAAAACACTCAGACCATAATATTTATTCAAGTGCTGTACATCCTGGAGGAGCCAGTGAAGTAGGACGGTCATAGGAAAGGGAAACTTCAACCCACAAAAGTCATTCTAAACCTTCAATTTTATCTCTTCAGTTTTCTGATTTGCTGTGGTTCACCACAATCACAACATCCCTAACTCTCCTCAATCTTTTCAAAAACATGTTCCTTTTATTGTGTTTACTCAGTGACATAGAATTAACGCTATATGGTACCATAGAGTTCTTATATTACTTATTTGCAATATAGTAGAATTCGTTTCTTACCTCAATGAAAAAAAGATCTAACTTGTTCACAACATTTTTTTAAACAGCCCAAAGCCTTGAAACTGCTGGGAATGGAGGTTAGTGTTTGCTCAAATTATTAGTGTCGATTATTCTCTTTCTCACATATTTAAAAGATATATGAGTTCATTTTAATAGTAAGGCTTAGTGCATGATTCTAAAATACGATTTTCCAAGTGCCATGGTGGCAGTTCACAGTAGCTCTTAAAATTCCACAATGGATTTATGTTAGCAGTGGGGGCAAAACAAAAATAAATAAATCCAATTGTAAATATTAACTTGAAAACCAAGTGCATAAACTCCACAGGCAAAATCAGTTAGAAATATTTACCAATGCCAACAGATCCAAAGAATTTCACAGATGCATCTAATAGGGGTGCAGAAACTGGAGCAGTTTTGTTCCCATCTTTGGTTCATTGTTTATTGTTGTTATGTGAAAACACAAATATAGAATATCCTTGCTTTTTCAGAAAAAAAATATAAGGAGAAAAAAGAAACATGGTAATGTTGTCCATCATGAGGTATAGACAGCCACACCTATGGAAGAAGAAATGGACAATAGTAAACAAACAAAAAAGAAAGGAAGGAAGAAAATGACCTATGAAAACATGTTTGGAATTTTTAAGACAGACTCTAATTATGTAGCCCAGCCTGATCTCGAACTCGCCATCCTCCTGTTTCTGACTCCAAGGTGTTGCTGGGCTTTTAGGGATTCACCACCATCCCCAGCTTAGAAAATGTTCTGTTTAAAGTAAAGCATAAACGGACATGTTGGTCGTTGAATATGCATTTATTAAGTCTTATTTTTAAATTAGCCCAAAGAAGTTTGCAAGTCTCTTTAGGATAAGAATTGGTCTGGTTCGTTTCAGTATGATTCTAGAGCTGAGCCAATGGAAGCTATACATAAAGTATGTAGTGAATTAATCTGATTCATTTTTCAACTCAGCTTGCCTTTGTTTCTCTAAAATTGCAGGATGACATTCCCTTGAGGAGAGGAAGAAAGACAACTAAAAAGCGTGAAGAGGAGGTAGACATTGACTTGGATGACCCCGAGATCAACCACTTCCCCTTCCCCTTCCATGAGCTGATGGTGTGGGCTGTCCTCATGAAGAGGCAGAAGATGGCCCTGTTCTTCTGGCAGCACGGAGAGGAAGCCATGGCCAAAGCCCTGGTGGCCTGCAAGCTCTGCAAAGCCATGGCTCATGAGGCCTCTGAGAATGACATGGTTGATGACATTTCCCAGGAGCTGAACCACAACTCCAGGTTGGCCAGTCACTCGTGAGGAGGGTGGGGAGAGAAGGAAGGGTAGACCCCAAATGCCAGAAGTTCTAGGTTCCACAAAACTTACGGGGTAACAGAGTCCCTGCACTAGAGCACACAGAGAGTGGGCATGAGTCATTTACCCTTATTGTGCACAACGCTGCATAGAGGTACAGAGAGGTTACACTGATTTCATTCATCCTCTCAACTGCCCCAAGCAACAGGTCATAGCATCATGTACTTCATCCAATTAAGGATAACATCTCAGAGAATCTAAGTCACTTGGCTGAGATCATATATAGTTGGCAAGAACAGGTCTGTCATGTTTAAGAAGACAGACTATACTCTAATGGTTGACTGATTATTCTGCCTTTACCTTCACATGCCCTGAATTGGGGGTCTTGAGTGCAGGAATCAAGCTTTGCCCTAACATCTTCAGTTCTAGACATGGTATCTAGTGAACACTTAAAGGATGTTGACTGGGTGGTTTTATGAGCCAGCAGATTTGACATGAAACAGCTACTCCTCACAGCAAGCTACCTTTTATGATTACACAGTGGGGCTCATCTTTGTTCATGGAAGTCTCCAAGTTGGCCTGAATCTTGCACAATCATGCTACCACAGGAGTCTCATCTAAGTCACCCTCCTGTGCCTTGTCTTCCAGGGACTTTGGCCAGCTGGCTGTGGAACTCTTGGACCAGTCCTATAAGCAGGATGAGCAGCTGGCTATGAAACTGCTAACATATGAGTTGAAGAACTGGAGCAATGCCACATGCCTGCAGCTGGCTGTGGCTGCCAAGCACCGTGACTTCATTGCACACACGTGCAGCCAGATGTTACTTACTGACATGTGGATGGGCCGGCTCCGCATGCGCAAGAACTCGGGCCTCAAGGTCAGCATACCCAAAAGAGATCCGTTGCCATAGCGTCCAAGGGTTGGTTGGAGTTTTCTAAGCCAGATCTATGGTGGGTCTAAGGGTTATCTTATGTCGGGAGGTGATGCTAACCCATCACTCTTCATTATAATCTCTTTAGAGATGTGATTTTCATTTAGAGTTAAGGGTTTGAACTTGGGGTCTGTCACATTTAAGAAGGCAGACTACATATGCTGTAGTCATTGATTGCTTATTCTGCCTCTACCCTCAAAGGTCTTAGGTTGGGGGTCTTGAGGCCAGATCTGAAGGCCTACAAAAACAGAATCTTGTCTCAAATCCAGAGATGCATAGTACACACAGGTTTCTTGGGGGACACTGTACACTCTTGCACAATCATGCTACCACAGGAGTCTCATCTAAGTCACCCTTCAGTGCCCTGTGAGGCTAAATACCCTTCTGATCCCACTCAGGCTATCTTGTATTATGTCATAACATAGGGACATGGCCTCTGATAGAATGGGCTTGAGACATTTTAACTGAACTAAAGTTGAGATAGATTTGTACATCAAGACATTACTAGGGAGAGGTGGGTTCAAAATCAAACCCAGAACCTCACACATGGCAGTGAGATACATCCCTAGTCCCTGATCTGTTCTCAGATGAGGAAAAGCGAGTCACAGGCCAGTCGACACAACCTAAACCCATTTTCAAAAGGTGTATAGCGACAGCTATAGAAGTGAACTAAGGGAAACCAAGAGGTAGTAGTTCTCTTGGGTACTGAACAGACTGTGTATATGATTTTTTTCTTGAGAAGAGAAAGTTGGGCTTTTGCCTTATTCGTTGGCAGTTTTAGAGAAGACCGTGGGGCCCCACACAGGCCAAGAGAGCTCTCTACCTTTGAGCGACACACTCAGCCCAATTTTTGCTTCCTCTAATCCTGCTAGTGATTTTTCAGGGAAAACATTAAAGTAAAAGAATTTTTGAAAAGAGAGAGAGAGAGAGAGAGAGAGAGAGAGAGAGAGAGAGAGAAATGAATGAGAGAAAAATGGAAGAGTGTTTGTTTGGTTTAATTTTTATGATGCCAGTTTTTAATTACGTGTATTGAAGATACCAATACAATGCTTTAACATACACAGTGAAGTAACTACCAGAGTCAAGCAAATTGGCACATTCATCATCTCGCAATTACCTTTTTTTGCATGAGGTAGGATTGTCTAGCATCTACTCTCGTAACAAATTTGCTAGTATGTAGTGTGACCATGTCGTTCATGATACACCTAGTATCTTTGGACCCACTTACACCACAATTTTGCATCCTGCCCTCCTTGACTTGTTTCACTGGGCCTGAACTGTTTGTCTCACTCTGCCTTTCTTAGGGGCTCTTGAGCTGAAGTTACAAAAACGGTTCTATGAAGTAGGTCATGTATTACATCCCAGAGTCCTGCTGCTAGTAACCACTAATCCTGGCCTCAGGTGGGAAGCCAAGCTGGTTCTCAGCTCCGAGGACAGGGCGTTGTACCCTACAAAGATTGCCAGCATGCCCTTTGAGCCTCCCAAAACACCTATAATTCAGAGTCAGTTCTGGACCTTTTCTCCTCACTGGTCTTAAGTCCCCGTGGCTATTAGGACCACAAGACTGTCCCTGTGGAGGCATCACACCCACTGATCTTTCAGATTCTGTCTGAGTCCCTCCCCTTGGTGCAGTATCTTCAGGGAGGCTCATCTTCGGGACCCTTATGCACTGGAACCATTTTAGAATTGAGAGAAGCTGGAGAGGACACTGTTCTCTGACAGTGGAGGAGATCACTCTGCCATGAAAAGCATCCTGACACTGAGATTCACACCGTGTTTACACATGAGAGTAATGCAGTGTTGGCCTTTCTGGGGCTTTTGTGCAAGGAGACTAACTATTCTCCACGAATATTCTCTGTGGGAAGGGATGGTTCTGTTTGGACATTGGTTATTGCCAATAGAATGTTCTACAGTAGATAAAATGATTTTCTACATGTGCCTTCAAGGTCAACCCAGAAAGCTTTACTTGACAGAGCTCATCAGCTAGCACATCAACTCTGCTTCACAAATACATGCCAGTATGTGTATGAATTGATTTTACAAGGCCAAGTTCTGTCTAATGACCAAATGAAAATCTCTTATTTTTTTGCTTTTGCTTTTGAATAAGATCTTTCTCCTCAGTTTCCCCCATAATGTTAGAATTAACAGGATAAGATATATCTGAGTAAAATAAGTGTTTCTTTATTGTATGTTTAGATCTCCAGATTTCCACATCCATGTTCAGCCAGTACAGCACCTGTGCATGATCATGCATGTGCACACACACACACACACACACACACACACACACGCCTCACCCCAGGTTCTCTGATTCTAAGCAACCACCCTAATCTTAATCCTTTAAATGTGATTATTATTATTATCATTATTATTACTTTAGGTAATTCTGGGAATTCTACTTCCTCCTTCAATTCTCAGCTTGGAGTTCAAGAACAAAGACGACATGCCCTATATGACTCAGGCCCAAGAAATTCACCTCCAAGAGAAGGAGCCAGAGGAGCCAGAGAAGACCACAAAGGAGAAAGATGAAGAGGACATGGAGCTAACAGTAAGAAAACACTACGCCGTTTTTCTCCCAAGCCACTCACGCATTGATATTGCTGAGGTTCAATAATGCTTGAGATAAGGGTTCCCCGGCTTCCTGCCAGGTATAATCATGTAAGTGTTAAGATTACAGTATCGTAAGTTTCCTCTTTGTGCACAAACAGCAGGGCTATAAGATCCAACTGTATGTGAAAGCCTTCTGCCAATGATGCTACAGAACAAATCAGTCAAATTCAAAGCCAGGCGACCTCAATTTTCCAGGCAAGCATCCATTGATAAACATGACAATGTGACTGGCAAGAGAGAGGGAAGCCATGAGCTGTGAGCAGCCAGCTTTGCTAAGCTGGGGCCGTTCTGCTGGTCAAAAGCCAAGACTGTGTCTGTCTTCAGGGTCAAAGTCACAAACCCGTCACTAATTGAATTTTGAGCTTTGTGGAAAGCTTGTATTAGTGCTTCCTGGTACAATTATAGAACATGGATGCTTTGTTCTGCAGCGAGAACAAGACAGCTGTGCACGGAAGCACTTCCCGCAGCCCCCACCCAAGTGACATGGCTGCCACTGGCTTGTGTCCAAAGGCTGAAAATAGCCTGTGCCTGTGCTATTAAAGGGACAGATAGGGCTTCATAGCTTGGGAGAGCTGCATCAAACAGCAGCTCCACAGGGACAGGTCTGTAGCACCTCAGCCTCCCTCAGCACCCTAGCCACTGGCTCTAGGAGTAATGACCCAGAAGGAACTGGAAGAGGAGAAGATGAAAATTGGGTTGATTCAGGTGACAGAAAGACTTTGCATGAGTGTCATCATCGGGACCACCATGGGACAACCTTCCTCCATAGGCAGTCCTTCTTTCTAGAAACCCCTTCCTGGGGATCTGTTGATAAATATGACCCATTGCTCACCGGATGAAAAGGCAATTTTTGTTTCAGTTCCAAGATCTTTGTAAAAACCTAGGTAGGCACCTGCCCTGTCCTGCCTTGCGAAAGCAGCACACTGCCTTCCCTGTAGAGCATGTCATGATTTTGGTCTCTGAATGCCTCAATAAAATGGTTTTTTAATCATGTTTAGTGTTGATTTTGGGTTCTTCCTGGCTGTCTCAACAGAGAAGTAAAGAGTATGTGCTTTAGAGTCAGAATCCTGTGCAGTGTGATGTTTTATTCTTTTGGCTTTTTTGGAGGGCCAGCTCCCAAATAAATCATACACAGAGACTGATTCTTAGTCATGAATGCCAGGCCTTAGCTTGGCTTGTTTCTTGACAGCTTTTCTTAAATTATCCCAACTACCTTTTTCCTCTGGGCTCTTATCTTTTTCTATTTCTGTATATCTATCTTTCTTTATTTCCTTCTCTGAGACTTGCTGTTTAGCTAAGTGGCTTGCCCGTGATGTCTTCCTCTCCTTGTTCTCTTGTTCCTCTTTCTTCCTTGGTTCTCCTTCTGTTTACTCTCTGCCTGCCATCCCCACCTATCCTTGTTCCTGCCTTGCTATTGACCATTTAGCTCTTTATTAGGCCAATCAGGTGTTTTAGACAGGCAAAGAGCTACAGGTTCACAGAGTTAAACAAATGCAGCACAAACAAAAGTAACATGACTTCAAATAATATTCCCCAACAATCCTGCCCTTTCACCTACTTGCTATGTAACCTTAAACACAATTTCATTCCATCATCAGTGGGAGCAGAGTTTTGTCTGTCTTGCGGGTGGTTGTGTGATTTAAGAATAAACCACTTAGACACATACACGTAAGCTACTTAGACTAACAACTAGGCATTAACAAATGTTTGCTTATGTTGTTGAAATAGTGCTGCATACTCTCTCTGCCCTCGCCATGGGACCACATCATGCCCATCAGGTACACATTGTTCTACTTCCCAGATTGGAAAGCAAGGACGCAGATTAAATTGCCCACATTTAGCCAGCTAGTTAGTTGCAAAGGTGAGATTAGAATTCAAACATACATACTCCATTGACAGTTGTTACACATTTAACAACCTCATCCAGTTGCCAAGGGCAAGAGAGAATTATATTCTGTTCTCTTATGGTCCTGCTTAGTGGATTTAATTCACCAGAGTAAAGAGCCTCCAAGGAATGCCAAATGTCCCAAATCAAGTATGGTGTGGCTTCCTCATAGCCAGCCTCCTGGGAGGACAGTCAGAAGCTGCATGATGCTCACTGTATCTGGATATAGAAGAAGAAGGGTCCCTTGTCTACTAAGGGCTTTGGGGAGTATGATCCTTCAGAAAGTCACTGTAGAAGATGTCTCTCATGTCTCAGAGCATAACAGGCTTGCCAGAGAATATATCCTAACATCTGTGAGTGTCATACAGTTCAATGAGCTAACTATGAAGAAATCGTTGAAATACTTGAAACTTATATTTGTATGTATTGTGTCAGGTGGTTGAAAACTAAGTCATGTGGAAGTTATCTATGTCTTCAACTTCCCTACAAATTGCAAACACTGCTGTAATTAGATCTCTTAATTTGAAACTTAAGTGCCAAGTACCGTGTCTTATCCCAAATCCTTCTCAATTCTGAGCAGCTATAATGTATGTCTTATCATAGACTCATGTTTATTAAGTTTCAGGCTATGGGGGTTGACTTAGCAGTTCAAGTCCCCAGTCCCACATAAAAAGCCAGCTGTGGTCACATGTGCCTGTAATCCCAGTGCAGGATGGGTAGGCAGAGACAAGAGGTTCACTGGTGCTTGCTGGCCACCACCTCGCTTCAGATTCAATGAGAGACCCTACACCAAGGGACTAGAGAGTGACAGAGCCACCTACTATTCTCCTCTGGCCTCTGCATGCACACATGCACACGTGCACACATATGTGCATACGTCACCCATTCACCACATAATTGCAGAAAAGAAAAAAACTCAATTTCCCAGCATTGTCTAATTAACCTTTATATCTTATAACAATGTGGAAGAATTAAAGCCAATACTTTGCCCTGCTATAGATTCTCACAGCATGCACACCTTTCTGGTGAGGGACCTTTAGGTGAGAGTACCTAAGAAGGTCCGCGTTCACTTTGAAGACTACCTAGTATTTACAGACCACTCAATTAGGTGCCAGGTGTTAATACATAGGTCCCCAAGGACCATAGCCCAACTTATGGCTAATGAAAGTAGGTCTCAGAGAGTGCACAGATCCTGAGTGTTCATCTTAGAACTCATCCTCCTGTCTATTTCATCCAAAGCCTATGAGACTTCACTGTTAGGCTCTTTAGTCATCTCTGGGACATCCTGTTGCTTACTAGCCAGGCAGGGTGTGTCTTCCTGTCCCTAGATTCTGCTGTTTTTGCAATATTTGATTATTATTGTTCATATGGCTACTGTTGTGATGAACAGCAAGGAGATGCATGTATTTGGAGCTCTCCAGCAGCTTAGAGATGAGGACCATTGCAGATCAAGTTTGCTTCAAACCTTTCCCCTAACCCATCTGGTTGAAGAGGAAGTCAATGTACCCCAGAGTTAGCACAAAATTGATAACAGCAGTAATTCTAATCGTACAAGGTTTAAAATAGAGGGACCAATGCCCATGCTTTATATGGGTAGAGATATTCCTAATCTAACTAAATTCCAAGCTCTTCAGATGGCTTATAACATGCCCAATCAATCTGCTTTTGACCCGGAAGTCACTAGCATGGGGTAGACAGAATTTGAATCCAGATCTTGCATGTCTCATATACATATGGGAAGAAAGTAACAAAATTGGGACAGATTCCTGTAGCCTGGCCTTCCCAAACAGTGCTTATTATCCCTCGCAGAACTCTATGTATATCCTACTGCCTACTCATTCAGAAGGTCCATGTTGTAGAAGAAAAGAAGGCTCAAGAAATAAGCCCCAAGATTTCTATTCTTCGAAGAATTACACACCTCATACAAATATAGTGCAAACTCACACATAAGAAAGGCAAGCCTTTCTACTCTCTGGTGTGGGGCTTGTTTTCTTGGGTTCTGTGAGCTTTCAGGCATCATGAACATCCACTCCTCCTCTGCAACACGGCCTACAGAGCCCAGCCATGATAGTCTCTGTTCTCTCCTACTGTAGGCGATGCTGGGGCGAAACAATGGGGAATCATCCAGAAAGAAGGACGAAGAAGAAGTCCAAAGCAGGCACCGGCTAATCCCCGTGGGCCGAAAAATCTATGAGTTCTACAATGCACCCATTGTGAAGTTCTGGTTCTACACTGTAAGCATTTTCCTTCCCCCTTTCTAAAAGGCTAGCCTCAAGGGTGGGCGGTCCTGTCTCGGGTACCTGTGTGGCTTTCTCTGAGCAGCACTGTAAGTACCACGCATGCAGGAATGGAAGCCCTGTGACCTTGTTTTTCCTGTAGTTTCACAAGCTCTGCGAGCTTTGGGGGACAGCGTCTATAGACTGCCTTTCTGCTCGCCACAGAAGGTAAAGGAACTGACAGGGGTGAGAAGTAACAGAAACAGATGTGCGATGTGTATGAGTTAGTTTCACATGCAAACAGATGTCCTCTTCCAGAACATTCCTGTGTTGCCGCACGGAGGAGAATTAGGACAGAGTAACCAATTACAGATGCTCATCCGGGGCTTCAGGGAACATGTGGGGGGGAGGGGGTCAGATGTAGCACCCCCAGAGACTGACAGCATCTATAAGTAACAACTGCCAACTTGGTAATGACATCAGTCACACTTTCTTACTCGGGCACAATTAAACAGCGCACAGCTCAAAGCACGAAAACCTCCAGCCCTGGTAAATATTCTCCAGGAATCACACCCTACATGCACTTCCTGCCTCCAAAGTCACGGGCTGTCCCCGAAATGGCATCAAATATCATAGATAGGGACATTGCTGCGGTTCCCTTTTCCTTTTCAGTGACACTTTCCAGTGGTTCTCAACTGTCATAATGCTGTGATTCTTTGATACAGTTCTTCATGTTGTGGTGACCCCCCAACCATAAAACTATTTTCATGGCTACTTCATAACTGTACTTTTGCTACTGTTACGAATCTGTGTTTTCTGGTGGTCTTAGGTCACCCCTGTGAAAGGGGTCACCCCCAAAGTGTCATGACCAACAGGTTGAGAGCCCTGGAGCTTAAAGTGATTCTACCCAGCCTGCTGGAGCTACGCCAGCTGAAGGACAAAGCTTCTGTGTTTCTAGACTTTCTCACGCCAGCTGCAGGGCAGTCCTTTGAGTCAACAACAGGGCAATCTAGGTCTGAGGACAAGAGGGGCTCAAAGGACCGTGGACGTGGCTTCCTGTGCAGTCCGGGATGTTATTATTCAACACTGGCTTTAAAGCAAGACTTCACAGCCACGGCACTGGTGGTATTTTAGCTAGGATCCTTCTTTGCCATGCAGCAGCGTCCCTGGTCTGTGCCTACCAGATGCCAGAACCACACTCTGTCCTTTAAGGATGACAGCTAAAATGTCTCCAGGCATTTGTGGGATGAAAACTACCACCAGTTAAAAGCCGCTACTTTAAAGGATGATTTTTAATAGAATATGAGAGAATATGAAAACACACATGCCTCATTTATATTCATTTTAGTAAAATAAAATCCCAAATGTATTGACATCCCCAAATCATACCCACCTCAAAATAATATACATCCAAAAATTCAGTTTACATTTTTTATAGCGTTCTTTCAAGCTTGCCCTGTAGAAAGCAGCGTAGTTGTGTAGCTGTGACTACATGTGATCTGAAAAGAGGCAGGTGACATATAGGCCTACCTGTGTCCCTCTGTGCTGTGTGACCCCAGAAAAGTTACTTTCCCATTCTGTCCATCTGTAAGATAGAGAGAGAAAAAAACGACATAATATGTGAAGATTAGTGTGTTGACGGATATAAGGCACGATAATGTCTGCATGTAGAAGTACCATGTGGAGGAAGCAGTGCTGCTCCTAAACTCCTCACATTTCTGAGAGGGAATCAATGCCAGATTCGTCTGTCCACGCCACAAGAGAAGTATCATTTATTGACCAGCTACTGTGTGTAAGCAAGGATCCAGATGCTTCCTAACCTCCCTGAGACTCACAATGATTTCACCAATATAACAGCTGTCTCTCCTTTTCATGCCCACATCTGCCCTTCTCCTTCTATTCTCCTGCCTCAGTTGTCACAACCAAAAAAGTGGGGGGGGGGATTTGAAAGCTATAGCTACAGAGGAAACTCCACTCTTATGGTCTACATGCTGGAACTCATTTTTGCATTTTGATTTCATTTATTCTGTGTCACTGTACATCACACCCAGGGATGCTAGGCGAGTATTCTACCATTAAGCTACAACCCCAGCCTATTTTGTTTGGTGTTTTTTTTTTTAACCTTTCTTTTAAAAAGGTTGAAATAAGTTTTTTTTTAAAAAAAAATCAGTTTGTGAAAGATGAACTCCAAATTTCAGTGTTTACTACAGCTGGCCACACATGTGCTCTAACAAAAAAAGTTAATTATGACCATTAAAAATAAAATCCTCTTGGCCTACAGAACCCTGAAGATTCGCCATGTGGCCTTTTGTGAATGTTAGCAGATTCCTAGTCTAAAGCACAAGAGAAACTGGTGTAAGGAATTACATAAAGAATTAACCAGCACGTGGATGAACACTGACCTCAATTAGCCTTCCAGGTCTCTGCTCTTTCTTCTTCAGTGGGGTTCAGCATGTCCATCATCTGAGCTCCTTGATTCTCTTGCTCCTTGTTGACCCAACTAAGGCAATTTTCAGCCTCAAATGCTTTCCTCATCACCAGTACCCTGGCCAGGGGCTGTCATCCTTGGCACCTCTGTATCAAGGTCATTGGAATCACCTACTACACTTTTGGTTCTGATTTTTTTTTTAAGCCAGGGTCTCACCCACGTTTTCCTTAAACTTCTGATCACCTGTTTCCACCTCTCAAGGACTGGGATTATACGCATGTGCCAAGTCCATGTGCTGGATCCCTTTCAAAACATGCTTTCACCTGGTCTCCACCCTCAGGGCTCTGATGTCATCCCTCTGGGTACTGCATTAGCATTCCCCAGGTCATTGTCTTGAGCTGTTAGGGTTAAAAAGCCCTGCCTGACTCAGAACAGAGAATAGTGAGTTTTAGCCCATTATTTTTTTTTTTAATTCTCACAATAGGAAAGATTTTATTAGAAATCCCAATTCAAGGATCCATCACGTACCCAACTAAATCAGCTCTGTGGGAGTAGTGGGGAGGTGTTGAAGGCCCCAGGTGTCTCCAAGGATTACAGAAACCTGGGGCACACTGCTCCAAACATCATTTGCAACAAACTTTAAAACACTATCTTAGTTCCCTTTCTATTGCTATGACAAAACACCATGGCCAAGGCAACCTAGAGAAGCAAGCATGTAAGTAGGCTTATGGCTTCAGAGAGTTAGCATCTATGATGAGGGAGTGAAGGCATAGTGGTGGGAACAGCAGAGAGAGAGAGAGAGAGAGAGAGAGAGAGAGAGAGAGAGAGATCCCATCTTGATCTGCAAGTAGGAGGAGAAAGAGTGAGCTCAGAATGAGTCTCTTAAACCCTCAAAGAGCCACTCACTGGAGACCAAGCATTCAGACATATGAACTTATGGGTGCCCTTGTCATTCAGAGCACCACGGGAGCTGTATCTTTGTCATTTGGGTTTAGGTCTTCTACAACTGTCCTGGTTAGCCTTGGTAAATCAGTCACACTAAATTCCCCAGTTAGGTTTAAACAATTCCAGCAATTTGTGTTCAAATGTTGACAAAATCCAGGCCTCAAGGTAAACGGATTTCTGGAAATGAGTGCCAAGCTCTTGAGACCCCAACAATGCTTAACAATAAACTTCATCATCAGACTGATGGTCACATTTGCTGTGACCTGTGTTCTGTTAGAATACTTTGCTCTGATTTCCAGAAGTGTACCTTCCTCCTCTCTGACACTCTACCCAAAGGGAACACCCACCTCACTCCCCTATGACCTTTTGACCTTATCTCAGCTCTCCAAAGGAACAGATAAGCAGGTGGGTCCCCTTCAGTTCCAAAACAGAAGGAAGCAGAGATCCAATTGGCTCACAGGCCCTGTCTATGCAGAGAACCTTTCTCAGTTATGCGCTGTAGAAGATTCAGGTTCAAGGTACAAGCGACCACAGGTCAGAGGACATGATGTGCACTGTGGGTTTCCCCGGCAGTGACAAGCTCTTCCCCAGAGGCCCTAGGTTAAGTGACTTACAGAAGATGACATGCGTGGGCTGAAACTTAAACCCAAGTGTCACTCCAAGTTTCTCTGCCTCCCTTCCTTCCTCCAGATACACCAGACCTGAGTTCAGAGGGTGGGCCCTGTTAGTAAAGTTACTTAAGTTCTAAGACATGGAATTTCTGAAGAAATGAGTTTATGTGTCTCTGGGCCAACATGTGACAAGAGGAGACAAGGCCTTGGAACATTTTTGCATTGAACTTCGTAAAATACTAAAAGCAGGGCACTTAAGAGTCACTCCACCTTGCTCTAAAGCAACAGAATTTTATTCAATAAAAGGAAGGAAGTGCCCAGGAAGATGGAAGAGACGCGAGGCAGACAGAAATTGAGTGTGTTAGTCTCACCAACTGACTCCCCTCCTTTGTGTTTCATAGCTATGCATACAAGGGCTGCAGAGCATGTCGGTGTTTTCTTGATCATAACCTGAAACCCTGTGAGCCAAGTCACACTCAAAACCAATTTTTAAAGGATGCCTCTCCCATGAGAAAGTTCCCTGATTCACTAGTGGTTCTGAAGCGGGGAGCTGTGGGAACCTAGGCATGAGAGTAGTCATGGGGATAGAGAAGATCCAATCGCCCGGGTGGAAGAGTTAAGCTAACCCTCGGCAGCTGCAGCGCTCACTCACTATCACAATCTGATTGTTCCAGATGCTATGTGTCTTACTTCTGTCATAGGAAGGGCTGGCTGGGAAGTTGCTGGCAGTGGTAGAGTGTTTGCCTACCATGTCCAGGTCTTGACTTATCAGAAAGGGAATTCTGTGCCACAGTTGGGCCTGGCCATGTACATCAATGTAATGGGAACGTCAGAGGTACCTTTGACTCCTATTAAAAAGTTGGTAAAAACGAAGGGAGAAGCCCATTGGAACACAAGACATCTCTCTGGGCCCATCTCACTGATCTCCTCACCAGGCTGCAGTTTCTACCCCCTAACTTTGCCTTTACAGCCTTCAAAGTCACCCAATGGCTTCAGCATCTTAAATCCTCAATCCTCCTGCCCACATGCTGCCCTGTTTATTGCCACACCACCCCCAAAGAATACAGATTTGAGTCAGCTCACTCTGGATCCCTGCTCACAGCCCCTGAGGCCGTCAGTCCCTTGCTCAACTTGAAGCATCGCCAGCAGGATGTTTCGCCCGTCTGCCATCCCCCTCGGGGCAAACTTTCTTAGGCAAGAGCACCACTAATTCTTCTCTTTCCACATTGACATCACTGCATCTTTCAGTAGCAGATTAAAAGCCTGGGCCCTGAGGACTGTTTCCCCACATCTAGCATTCCAGCCAGTCACATCAGGACTCAAACTCCAGATGCTGGTGCCTCCGGAGAATTAAATCCACAACAGGCCACACACCCCACGCCTTCCTGTAAACCGATTTATTTTCTCTTGCTTTGTTTCAAAGAAACAGAAAACAAACTCCAATGTTCCGAGCAGGGTAGGGAAGGATGACAGTACCCAGTGGGAAAGAAGCAAACCACTGGAGGTCAAAACCATCCGCTCAGGAGAGCAGGGGTGAGGGTCCTTTAAGACTAAATCTAGACTACTAACACTGTGGTTTTACCAACTGCTAAGTAGTCTATGTGTCTTTCTTTCCTTCTGGTGGGCATTATCCTACCTGACATCTTTCAGGGGGAAAAACTATACTGTATCACCTTAGTATGGAAAACCATGTCTACACCTAAGCAAGAAGAGCCCTGATAGGCCAGGTTCTTTTCTAAGCCAGAGCACTGGAACACACACACACACACACACACACTGGTGATTGCCACACAAATTTTTACACCATGACACAAAGGTATAAGCAAGGTCCTAGGGTCCCAGAGATACTATAAAGGTTAAAAAAAAAAAACAAACATTGCATATGCAATTATTTTAACTATTACAGCCTTTAAGAAAAAAAAATGTTGGAGGTAGAGGTGGCTCAGCAGGTAAAGGCACTTGCCGTCAAGTCCAGAGACCTGAGTTCAAGCCCCAGAACTTGGTAGATGGTGAGAAACAACTTCTGAAAATTGTCCTCAGACCTCCACAGGAATGCACATAGAAAATACATAAATATTCTTTGTTATTTAAAACTCTCTATTTCGGTTCCTCATGGACTCCCTGTCCCGCTTACTGACCTTGCTCCATGCTGCCACGCAGTGGTCTTGCCCAGGGCGCAGCCCCCAGGCCTCTGCAGTTCGACTCCTGTACTGTATTCCCTTGCAGCTGGCATACATCGGCTACCTGATGCTCTTCAATTACATCGTGTTAGTGAAGATGGAGCGCTGGCCGTCCACTCAGGAATGGATCGTCATCTCCTACATCTTCACGCTGGGAATTGAGAAGATGAGAGAGGTAACTGCTTCCTAACAGAAAACGGGAGGGAAATGGTGGCTCATCATATCTGAGGATGGAGACTCGAGAAGGATGCTTGGGATCCGAATTAAGCCCCAGACAGGGTTCTGTGGGGCTGCTGGAGGCTGCTGCTTTCCCTCTTTGTCAAACCTAGAGAGGTTTCCTAGGGCAATTCAGTCTATTTTCTGCTCACATGCCTTTTGCCCCAAGACATCCTCCAGAGGGCTTCAATATCATTTACACCTCCCTCTTCTCATCTCTATGAAAATGACTTTTTAAATTTTGCTATTTTTAACTCCCATTTCAACTCCTTACTTGGGGGTCTCCTTGGACACTGTCCACCAATCCAGTATCAAGCTCTCCAGATGTGTTCCCGCAGCTTACTGTCAAGCTCAACGACCTGCATTCAATACCCAGAACTCTCATGGTGGACAGAGAGAAACAGCTTCAGCAGCACGGGGGAGAGGGGAATGACACACTGCATGTTTTCCTTTCCTCAGTTTATTCTGGAGTTGATTCCTTCTTGGTGTCTACCACCCCCACACTGGGCACCCGCCAGCCCTTCCACCCCTAGGGAGCACCGTGGAGGATGGAACTCAGTTCTGGTCTCTCGTCACCTCCTTCCATTAGCCTAAGAGGAGTCACTGAAATGCCACCTCCTTTATGATTTGTTTGAAGTCAAAGCTAACCTTGGGGAGAGGAAGTCTTATTCATTGCTAAAAAGAAATGAGCTCTGAGGCAATGGGAAAACTTAGCTATGTGTTACAAAGAGAAAAATGTCTGAACAGGATACATTCTATATGATTCCAGCTATATGAAACCCTGGGGAAACCTAAGGAGATGGAGGTGCTATGGAGATGAGGGGTGCTGTGGAGATGGGGGTGCTATGGAGATGGGGGGTGCTGTGGAGATGGGGGGAGCTATGGGGATGGGGAAGTATGGGGATGAAGGAGAGCTATGGGGATGGAGGAGCTACGGGGATGAGGGGGAGTTATGGAGATGAGGGGGAGCTATGGAGATGAGGGGGAGCTATGGAGATGAGGGGGAGCTATGGAGATGGGGGAGCTATAGGGATGGAGGAGCTATGGGGATGAAGGAGAGCTATGGGGTGGTGGAGCCATGGGGATGGGGGAGCTATGGGGATGGAGGAGCTATGGGGATGAGGGGGAACTATGGGGATGAGGGAGAGCTATGGGGTGGTAGAGCCATGGGGATGGGGGAGCTATGGGGATGAGGGGGAGCTGTGGGGATGAAGGAGAGCTATGGGGTGGTGGAGCCATGAAATGGTAAGAAGATTGATGGTTGCCCAGGGTTGGACATTGGAAGGATGGTAAGTGAAGCCCAGAGCTTCTAAGAGTACAAAAGTATTTTGTATGCTACACTAGTGATGGATTCATATCATTCTACACATGTTCAAATCTATAGAATGTTATAGAACATACCCTACCAACAGTGAACCCTGATAGGTCTTTGGGTGATGGAGGCTGTTGATAATGGAAGAGGCTGTGCCTTTGCAGGGGCCAGGAGACACCAAGGAAAGTGCTTTTTGTGAACTTAAAACTGTTTTTTAAGCTTAAATAATTAAAAAAAAAAAGAGGAAGAAAAGCTAACCCCAGTGGCTCCTGAGATTCCAGTGCTTCTAAAATCTATGTGGTCAAGAAAGAGTCCACAAGAGGGCGCAACAATCCTGCTCAGTACTCCCCACAAACTCCTACCTCACCAGAGAGAACCTGCACAGGCTTGCAAGGTGAGGCTGACTCCTCTGCATGTTCCCAGAAACTGCAGTGAGTGGGAGGGGCCTTTTCAGTAGGGAAGAATCCTGTCAAGCCTGTGCAGCCCTGGGCGCCCCAGCACAATCCTGGTTTCTGTATTTCAGTGGGTGGGCACAGAAGGCAATGGGGCCACAAACCCACCTTCATCACCCAGACACATTCCAAAAAGAAAGATGCCATATCCATTAAATGTGACTGCATTGAGATTTAAACACACACACACATACAAAAAGAAAAAAAAAAAACTCGCCAGCACCTTTCTCTGGGGCTATGTGGGCGTTATTTTTATTCTAATTAGTATTTCCCCCTCCTGAGAGCTTGGGAATGGTACATAAGTCCCAACTGATTAGAGACTAAGGACTAAAGCAGCGAGACACCGTGTGCTGCTCCAGCCTGTTCTTCGCCCTGTGTCCCACCATTCGCCATGCCTCCCATTGCCTGTGCAGTGCAGTGGACTTGGAAACTGAAAAAAAAAACAGTAATAAATTTGCCTGGGATTTTGTGTCGCTCAGAGAACTGAGCCTGCTCCCGCCAGGGGCCCTGCCTCTGTGGAGTGCCAGCTGGCACTCCCGAGACTTCACACCCAGCCACATATTCCTTCCCCATCGCAAGCAGAGGAGGCAAAGACTAGAAGTGTGGAGACTGGAGGCTGTCCAGGGACTAGGCTGGAAGAAGATGGGAAGCAGCCTGTACTCCTCGGACTGTTCTAGAAAGGCTGCCAAGCCGGCAGGCTGCCAGCAACCTCCAGGCCCGGCCGTCCATTTCTTGTGAAGCTGCATGTCACGGCAGGCAGGGTGGGGCTTCCGATACTGGGTCAGGGCAGGGTCAGCTGAGAAGTGCTTGCCGCTGGGGGAAGATGTAAGAAGTGGGGTTGTGGCCATTTTTTGTGCGTGATCTTTTTCTCGGCAATTGGTGAGGTCGCCTCTCACCCCATGCCCCTGCCTTGAACTCTGGAAGGAGTGGCTCGGCTATTGAGTGGTTGACAATTCCCACAAGCATCGGCCTTCCCGCCTCCTTGTGGTTGGCACACAGGCCCTCAGGAACCCAGACGCAAGATCCTGGAAGCATGGAAAAGTTCGCATGCTTCCGTGCCTCCCAGGCAAACACCAGGAAGGCTGTGGTTTCATGCGCTGCTGGTCCCATTCTGCTCTCCACATACTTCTGCACGTAGTCACCCGAGCCAGCCGCAGCAAACCCTTAATCGTATGGAGCTGTTTACAGCAGGCCTTAGTAGACATTATCTCACCCAGTTCTCCCCCAAGTCTGTGAGGTCAGTGACAGCCTTAATCGCATCCATCCCCGCTTTACGGGTCTGGGAAACAAGATGGAGCAATTGTTTGGTATGCTACGGATAGAGAAGAGATTGGGGTCTGAAACTTGTTCGGTTATCTGAACCGCTCTTCTCTTTCCACTCCCCCGTGATGCTCTGCTGTGTCCCACGATACCAAGGCCTGTGCTACGGGCTGGCTTAGCAGTGATGGGGCAGAGGAGGAGCTCTCCTTTCCCCTCCTTTTCTCCCTCTCCTCTTTCCTCACTGTCTCTCATCTATTCTCTCTCTCTCTCTCTCTCTCTCTCTCTCTCTCTCCTGTCTCTCTCTCTCTCTCTCTCTCTCTCTCTCTCTCTCTCTCTCTCTCTCTCTCTCTCTCTCCAGCAGTTTTAGTGACGCGTGAACAAGAGGGTGGGCTTTGCAAAGACCTGGCCCAGGCCCATCCTCCCTGCCCCTACTTCCCCATGCACGTGCGCAATTTGTATCTAGTTAAGCTGGAACTAGAGGCTGAGGAGCTGACAGAACAGCAACAGCTGCAGGGGATACCAGTGGGTAGGTAGGACAGTAGATGTCCCAACAGGGTCCCTGGGAGCCTGCAAGGACAGCAAATCCCCTGGCCCAACCCCCACACCTGCTGAAGTAGGAAGTCAGTGCCAGGAATCAGGTATCTGTGTTTTGGAGCAATGGAGGCTTCTGCAGCTGGAATGGTCAACAGAGGCCTTCCTAGGAAGGGGACAGCTGAATAAAGAGCTTAAGGATAAGAAGGAGTCAAACATACAGACTCTTGGAGAAGAAAGTCCCCAGGGGAAGGAATTACGCACGTGAGGGTCCTGAGCGCAGGCTGAACTTGCTAAGCCTCCAAGCAAGTCAGTGTGGCTATGGGGGCAGAACGACTGAGAATGCGGTGGGATGTGAAGTGGGCCGCGGGGAGGAGCCTGGCTTCTGGTCTGTTTATAATGAAAGCCATCAGAAAGTCTGAGTATATACTTACCGTGGTTTGCTTGTCCCTCGTCTCCTTTTTTTTAAGAAATGAGGTATAATTTACTGGTAATGAAAGGAACCCCCGCTTAGGGTCCAGCTTGATGAGTCTTTGCTTACACCACCAACTGCGTATTCATCAACCACATCAAGGGTTAGGTCCTTAAAGAGTTTACTGTGTGTTGCTCAGAAACTGGGCGGTAGGCTGGTGGCCATAATGACAACAGTTATGTCCTGAGAAGACGGTAGCAGCCATGTGCCTGTAATGGGACGTAGAATTCAGTGGCAATCACGGAGATGATGATGAGTCATTAATGGGGTTGTACTTCGGGCAACGATTTGGGGACACAAGAGAGGAATGGAGGTGTCCTGTAGGAGTGGTCCATGTCACTCAGTCCTGAAGGCTGGATACGGGTATCTATGTAATGTTATAGCAAAAGCCTGCAGTGGCTCAACATTGCCAGACCATCCCAAGAATTAGACCTGTTGTTTACATCTGTGCACATCTGGATTGCCTACGTTGAGTTCAGTTATGCATCCCTAGCATACAGGCCTTCAACGAGACACAGGTCTCCCTAGCCCCTTCCATCAGCTGATAGACCGAGCGCTTCCCAGCGGAGCTGAAAGGATACAAGAAAGCAGGCCTAACCCTCTCTCTGCTTTCTAGATCCTGATGTCAGAGCCTGGCAAGCTGCTGCAGAAGGTGAGGGTGTGGCTGCAGGAATACTGGAACGTCACCGACCTCATCGCTATCCTTCTCTTCTCGGTGGGAATGATCCTCCGTCTTCAAGACCAGCCCTTCAGGAGCGACGGGAGGGTCATCTACTGTGTGAACATCATTTATTGGTACATCCGTTTGCTGGACATCTTCGGCGTGAACAAGTATCTGGGCCCATATGTAATGATGATTGGGAAAATGGTAAGCAAGGGCATTTGGGGCCGTTGTCACTTTTCCCCGGAGGAGGATCCCTGATAATACAAAGAGAGATGTGATTCGTTTGGATTTGCCACTGAGGTCTGCATGAGATGGCCCCAGGGGTGCTTCAGGGTTTTTAATTTCCTCTAAGTGTTTGCAAAGTTGACTCTATTGCTATATAAAAAGCCGCCTTTTTTTTCTAACTGAAGCATATGGAAAGATCACTTGCTTTATGGCAGGCACTGGCTTAAGAGCCCAGCAAAGCCAAGCAGTGGTGGTGCACACCTTTGATCCCATCACTTAGGAGCAGGAGACAGACAGATCTCTGAGTTTGAGGCCAGCCTGGTCTACAGAGCAGGTTACAGGATGATCAGGGCTACAAATAGAGACCCTAGCTAGGAAAAGAATAGGAAAAATAGTTAAGCAAAGATGCTGTTTTGTGAAGTTGAGACAAAGGGAACGGAAGGGTGAAAAGGTCATGGTGACATCTTATGGAGTCCAGAAGGGTCGCTCACAGGTCAAGACAGATTGACACAGAAGGTTCTCAGTGGGCGGGCATGGAGGATGACTTGGTCTCCACTGAAAACTGCTAACAAATGTTGAAGACTCATAGAAGGTGAGTTTTTGAGGCAACATTTGAAGCTGGGTGTAGTTGTACTCACTCAGAATACCCCAACACTTGGGGAGCTAAGGACGTGAGATCCCAGGCCATCCAGGGTCAGTTACATAGCAAAAGCTTATCTCAAAAAACCTGATGTAAAATAAGATAAACTTTTTTTTAACTCTTTTAAAAAGTGGAGTCTAGTCCACAAAGGGAGGAGCGGGGTTAAGTTGATCTGAGTTAGGTAGGCAGACTCTGAGTACTAGGGAAAACTGTGACTGAACCTGGCTCCTGAGGGAGACACCTGCTCCTCTAAATTCTTTAAAATAAAAGAATCTCAAGTGGTGAGTTAATGTACCTCTATACAAATGTCTGAGAATTTCAACTTCCTGGCTATATTCTAGTTTTCAGAATTTTCCCATAAAGACTGAGCCTGGGGTAGCCAGCATCAGTGTGATCCTGGTGGCAGGCATAGAGTGGAGGTGGGATGCTGGGCTCATGAGCTTCTTCCTCAGACAGTCTAGGGGAATTACCAGAACCTGATGCCCGCATGTATATCTCCGACACGTGGAAAGCTAAGAATATCCACCCTACCTGGAAAAATACCCCCTCATAAGAATCTCTTTGGGATCGTCTCTCTAGTTCCCTCCTATGAGTTGTTGAAACCAGCAAGTGGCATTATAGATGCCCCTTTTTACTGCCAATCAAGTTGACAGGCATCATTGCTAATTCAGTATTTATTAAACATCTGCATATGAATTCTACCGAAATACATCTTAAATAACCAGAAATCTTCCTGTTGATAAAAAAATCCATGCAAAGAAAGGAAAAATTTAAATTCAAAATGAATTTCCTTTACTCCTTGATATTCCATTCGCGGCCTTCTAAGGCAACAAAGAGCAGCAAACGTGTACTTTGCAGAGCTGTGGTCCTTAGGACTGGCAGTGCTCAACAATAGCTGGCTGGCGGTCAGCTGGCTGGTAAATTGCGTCTCCTATTGTTATGCTCAAACTGTCTTTGTAAAGGACAATGAAGGAAGGAAAGTTTATAAACACACAGTGTCTTCTATATAACCAACCCTTTCTTACACAAAGCTTGGAATTATCACACCGACGCTGTTTAGGGTAAATAGCACCAGACACATTCTAGAGAACAGAAACATGGGTTCTGGAGCTTCAATCACACACACTGAACCCAGTTCAGCTTGATATTGTGTGGGGAGAGGGCAGGGTGTATATTATTTGTTTATTCCGCCCTTATGTCTTCATTAAACAAGGGCTTTGAGACTCCGGGAAAAATTCTTATGTCTAAAGGTAGACCCTGGGGAATGGGTTTGAAGGATGGGAGGGACCTGGGTATCCTGCTCCCAACTTACATAGGAAAATGTGCATATGGATTTTCGAGAGAAAACAGGCCTTTTTTGAGATTCTCAAATACATTTCGAAGTGAACTGAGAAAAAGATATCAAACTATAACAGCTTGGAAATCAGACCAATTTTTCTCCACCTTGGCACATTTTTTTTATTTTTTTTAAAGTGTCTCACTATGTAACTCAGCCTGTCCTGGACTTTACCCTCCTCCTGCCTTCACCTCCTCAGTGCTAGGGCTACAGGCATGCACAGCACACCCAGGTGGGACTGCGTAATTCTTTGTTGAAAAGTCTGCATACTGCAGAATGTTTAACACCAGAGAAAAAGAGAGAGGGGGGGAGAGAGAAGAAGGAAGAGTTAGGACAACAAAGACGTCTCCAAACATTACCAAATGTCCCCAAAGCACAGAGCTGCCCTCTGTCATGAACCACTATATTAGGCTCCCATTTTAGCTCTCTTTATTAAAATACAAATGAAATGCCACTACATTTCCCTTTTTTGTCTAAAATAAAAAGATTATTAATTAGGGGATTATTTAATCTGATAGTTTTTTATGATAACCTTATTTTAACAGAATATTCAAAGACCCAAACCAAGTCAATTATTTTTTTAAAAGTCGAGGTGGCATTTAAATATTTGAAATATCTAAAGTTACATTAATGCAGTGAGATTATCTTAATTTCCGTGCCTATCATTTTAATAAGGGCGTAATTATCCCGGTTTTGACTAAAATAAAACCTTACTAAGAAATGAGGAGGAGGGCTGTGATGTCTTTTCTCTACTTTTTAACTTATGAATGACTTCATTTATCAGTCAGGAATAAGTAGGAAATTTGGGGACTTTGAGTTCTTACAGGATGCTTTTAAGATAATTAGTTCAATAATTGAGTCATCGATCCAGAAGGTAGATAAAATCCATCCTTGGAGTTTATCAGTGAGCCAGATGGATGGCAAGCTGGAAGCTGAGGAGTCTTCCCAGATGTGTTATATGCAAAGCCTTTAGAGGCGCCCTCTTTCATACTCCACACCTAGGAAGCCCAGCGCCCAGGGTCTCTGGACACCAAGCACAGGATGGCCAGGTGCTCATTCTGAAATCGTTTTCTGTGTTGGCAATGTCAAGGAAACCAACCAGTGCATCAAATAAATACCCGACAGCACAGAACTCCTTCGTCCCTTCCCGCTGTGAATCCTGTTCATATACAGGTCCAGGTTTACCTGAAATCCTGACTCTGTCCTTGCGTATTTTATTTGTCAAGGAAACTGTAACTGTGGACTAACTCCCTTATGTAACGTGGAATCGAAGCCATGATAGGAGCTGTGCGATACTGTGCCAGACACCATGGGAGATGCCTCTCAGTCCTCAAAACTGTTAAACCCCGTGGAATTGATCTAAGCCCTTCCTATATTAATTAAATAAACAGACTCTGAGAGAAACAGGGACAAGGGTCAAACTCCTGACTCCAGATCCTGGCCTTCCAATAATAGCACATTAGCATTTATGAGAATTACCGCATAGTCACTGAGTCAAAGGTAATCGCGTGATTGTTGTTATTATCCCACTTACAACATTTAAAAACAAGGTTAAGCACCGCATTCCAGGCCACTTAGCCAACTTTCTTTTTTCTTTTTTAATGGTCAGGAAAAAGTTTTCTTTGGTGGATTTTTTTTCTCACATAGCTATTTTTGCTAGCAGTTAGGATCAAAATCCAGGTTGTCTGGCACCTGAGAGCTTGTGCTTCCTCCCCACCGTGGGTATTCTCTGTTGAACACGCTGAAAGACATTTGTAAGACTGGGCAGGATCTTCGCACTGATCTCACTGGATAATTTCACTTTGAAAACAAAAGAAGTCTGCTCCTGATATTTTTTATGACAGTAAAGACAGAAAGCTCAGCATATGAGAAGAATTTTTTCTTTTGCTGTTTTGACCCTGTGAGTAGATATTAGAAACAATAATTAAAAAAAAACTGAGACATTAAGTTGGTGCCGTTTCTGTATTTCCTCTCTGAGTTTCCTTCAGTCCGGCTAGCCCTGCATGCTCATGAGCCCACCTAATCTGCCCCACCCGTCTTTTAACAAGTGTAACCAAATATAACACAAAGACCCATCTGTGCTCCTTCATTGATAAACTTTCTATGAATAAGTGGTCAAAGAATTTTATAAAATAAAAAGAAGAGAGAAGATAAAGCATGGGTTTCCTATGAACATGTTGTTATTCTCCCAGCATAAACCTGCAGGGAGATGGAAAAGAGGGATCTTAGAGAATTTCCTATCTCACTTCAAGGTCTTAAAATTTTGGGCAGATGTATTCTGAAGTTGTCTTGAAAACTGATGAATTGATCTAAAATATATTGAGGCCCCTGTGTCCTAAGGCACCCAGAAAGAACGTAATGTTTAAGTACCATAAAATATTCTCTTTTAAGCTAGAGGTGGAAATAGGTCCATAGCAGAGTGTGTGCTTAGTGTACAATAGGCCCTTGATCCAGTCCTCAGCACAACAGTAACAATAATAAATAAGTAAAACTGTCTGAAACCTTCTTTATCACTGATAATTAGCATTCATCTTTTTCTGGGGGTAGGTAATCCTTATACTGTAATATCCAAGAGGAGGAAGTCTTTGGTGTTAGACAATTTCACACAAAGAGTGAAAACCAATCTTTGTAACTTATGAGTATGAGGGACATACTGACTTATAAAACAGGGTGGAACAGGCCATAAAGACTACTGAGACAGGGGTCCAGTCACTGCTAGGACTAGCTCTCTCTATCTGCTCCTTCGCTGGTGGGGAAACTTAGCCTCCTGCATGCTACATGATTATAAAGAATGAACATTATGAAGAATGAAAGGGAACTTCTCTCTCTACTTCTATTTTAAAGAGATGGTAGAACAGGCTATGTAATCTCAGCACCCTGGAGGCAGAAGCAGGAAGAGCATGACGTTGCAGGCTAACCTCATCTACACAGTGAGTTCTAAGATACTTTGGGCTCATACAGAGACCTGTCTCCAAACAAACAAAAAAGGTTCTGAAGATTGTGATAGTCCTGTCTTGTGTCACATGCCTACCTCACCATGACTTCCATGGAATGCGGGCGCACAGCTAACCTAGCTTGGACAGCACAGCCATCTTTCGGGCAGATGCATTGGAGCTCTCTCTTAAAGAAAGAAGTTGTGGGTTTGGAGCCACTTAGAATCACCACTCTTTGTTCAGTGTTGAAAAGAGAGCAATTGGGCAGGGGAAAATGAGATGCCTAGTCACATAGCATTGAAGCAAGCGAGGGGATGGAGAAGGAAAAGTGGGAAGAGTGAAGGAGGTGGGCTTCAGTCAGGAGAAATTGGCTTCACACCAGGGAGGAAATCCGTCATGTCAACAGGCACTGGTCTCAGTCATGAAGCTACATAGCTTAAAGACCAGTGAAAAGACCCCACCCCCTCCAATAATAAGATACCCTACAGGAGAAACATAGAAACTGGATGATTTGGTGAGAGACAGATCCATGGCAGAGAATCCAGCAATGCGATGGAGCTCCCATTTGCCCTCCTGCCCTGGGTCTATTTGTAACCCTGCATTTTCTTGAGCTTCCCGAGTCATGCTAGCCTCTTCGAACTAAGAGTAGGAATATGCTGCTCTGCACTTGTTCCTGAAATAGCCCAACTATCCCAATTCTAATTTTCCTAAGAAGAAAGAAACCAAAACAAACGACTTGCCTTCCCTAATAACAGTTTTTAAAAAAAAAAAAAAATGGTGCTGGAACCACGTGAAGAACCCAAATTCTGAGGATTAGCCCTTCTGTGTCTAAATGTAAATATATTTCCTAGACGTCCATAAAAATGAAGGGGCTCAATTATGTGTGCACTTGTAAAAAAAAAAAAAAAACTTAGCAACTGACATCAGTATTCAGCATGGAGACATCAGCTTCAATAGTCCAGTTGTCCTCTTAGCTGGGGACTCCTTCAATGTCAGCATTCACAGGCACCCTCAATCACGTGGCTTTTCTCTTATTTCTCCTTCTCCGCCCTTCCAGATGATAGACATGATGTACTTTGTCATCATTATGCTGGTGGTACTGATGAGCTTTGGGGTCGCCAGACAAGCCATCCTCTTTCCCAATGAGGAGCCATCTTGGAAACTGGCCAAGAATATCTTCTACATGCCATATTGGATGATTTATGGGGAAGTGTTTGCAGACCAGATAGACCGTAAGCAAGTTTATGATTCTCATACACCAAAGTCAGGTATTTAACTTTGATTGAGTCACGTCTTTTCCAAGTCCATTCGTCTGTCCTCAATAAATGGCTCAAGATAGAGGGCCGATTCCTAGTTTGCTATCGTGGTGGAAACAATCGCTGGAGGTGAATATAATACCTTAGCAAAATAGCCATCACCTATTTCTTCAGGTATGTCCTTCCTGTAATACAAATGGACATCTAGTAGACCAAAGTTGATACAAAAACTGAACCACTTTAAATGATATAAGTTTGTGTATAACTCAAACTCTTGGGGCAAGGTTTTTTTTTTATATTTCATCACTGGGAATATATTATGTCAAAACTACCCACTCCTACCTTAACCCTCACCTTGCTAGGCTTTAGAAAACAAATTTCTAGGGCTTGACTTTAGAATAAATAAACAATTCTCAATTTCATCATTAGAATTCAAGATTAAGGGCAAACATCTGTATGGTATTTTCCTCATGCTAAAAGCTATTCCCCGGCAGTCTTTCTCATTGTTAAGAGCTATTGAGACACAGATGAAGCCAGAATTCATTACCAAGAAGTATGGAAAATGCCCATAGGTCATAGACCAAGTTGTTGGCTGTAGATGCTGAGGTGGGGGGTATCTATACCCTAAAGTGATCTAGCGTGAACCAAGAGGCAGCAGCCCCCGGACCGTCAGTCTATTAGACACGGAGTCTCTGCAAAAAACAACTCCTTTTGTGTGGAGTTGGGGGCAGCTGTAGTCCTGAGTCTGTTCCAGGGTTTTATTTGGACCAAATGTCAGGGCACACCAGGCATCAGGAAATGACTTGGGGAAGAAAGCGTCAGGGGAGAAGCATGTTTCAGTGTGAAGCTGAATCCCAGCAGCAGCTCCCTCTCACTTTCCCTGAGGAGTTCAACTCTGAAAATAACAACCCTCCAACACTGTTGAATTCACATTTTTTTCAGACATTTATTTTTTGCTGACAGGTCAGCCATGTGAGCCCTGGACTGTGAACACCGATTAGGGTCAGGTAACCACATAGCTTACTAAGAGAGGGAGTAGAGTCTCGTCAGCACCCGCTCTCCCTCCTCATCCCAGGTGGGATGGGGCCTAGGCATACAAGGACCAAAGACGTCTGAGCTTGGAAGTCCTCGGGCCTGTGAAGAGCGTGGGTATCCTGGCAACAGAACACAGTTACACGTCATTTTCCCCTCCACGATAGATTCTGAACAAATATGCTTTCCTTCTCAAAACACGTTATCTGAGGCTCTGAGGCAAGCGCAACTTTTTGGAACACCTAATTGGAACAAATATCTGTTCCATAAGACTTAGCCAACTCACAAAGGAAGAATTTTAGCTCCATCCTCCAGTTAGGGTATCTTTGGCTGACAGAAGAAGGCAGTTTCCCAGGGACAGGGATTTCCTGTAGAGAGCATCCTTTCAAATGGTCCCTCCAGGCCAAACAACACTTTAAAAGCTTGCTATGCTGATACTCCTCAGAGACAAGGTTATCACACACACACACACACACACACACACACACACACGCACGCATACACACGCGGAAATTGCTTTTCCACTTTGTTACATTATTTTGCCTTTTCAAATTGTCCCTTTTTCTCCAAGAACGAGAGGAAGTCCACATGGGCATTTGAACAATGTGGTATGGGAGAAAGGGGGAGAGGAAAAGGAAGGGGAGGTGGGGATGGGTTTTACAAATGGGATTCTGTCTGTCCCTCTACACGTGGCCATTTATTGATGTTGTACTATGAACTCAGCCTAGTGCAACAAACACTGCCATCCGCTGAACACAAGGATTTAGTATCGCTGTTCTAAAAGAAGGGCTGATTATAGTTTAGAACTTGAGATCTCCTCACCACCCCCAAAGACAGAATGGAGGTGTTTTGTGTGAAAAATGGACAAATTCCCTCAGCTCTGGGAATTAGATCTTGTGGCGCTCTATGTGTGTGAGGATAAATCTTGACCCCCCAAATCCCAAAATAGAACCGACCCAGCCTTAGGTGGATGAAACCTTCTTGAGACCCTGCCCTCTTCTGTGATCTTCTGAAGTTGGCCGCAATGGCAGACTGTTCTAAGCTAAATCAGCCAGTTTTCTGTCTAGAGTTGCTAAACAGGATTCGTCCTTTCTCAAATGGATTTAGACAACTGTCCTCAAACCTCAAATAACATTCGACCAAGGTCACCGGACATCACTCTTCTATTAATGACTCAAATGCCTATACTATGGCACAAGGTGGGCCCGGTGGAGATTGGATGCCTGCCGCCACCCTTCAGAACTGCCCAGGAGAACCAGCAACAAACTATTTGAGAAAGGTACAAATCATTCAAATCATCGCCGCTGCCCTTCAGTCTGTGGCCTCCTCTCTGTGCCGTGTGCAGGTTGGCGTGTGAAGCATGTATTCAGGCTGATAGGATTTCATACCCACCCGGACCCACTGCCCTCCCATGGTCTACCAAGCCCCCACTGTAAATGTGCCCCGTGGATGTGCCCCGTGGGTGTGCCCCGTGTGGCCCTTTCCCAGTGCTTCTCATTCCCACGCACCTCAGATAACTCATTCCTAACTTGATGCACGCGCTCCATATCTAGCTCTGGATGTTTTGACTTCTCCGTTGCTGGACCCATTTCATGGGGGGGTGGGGTGGGGTGATCTCTTTCTGAACTGGGACTGATCGGTGTGAATATGCAATGGGACCTTCAGAATAGGTGACTCGTACCAATGTCACACCTCAGAATGGAGGACAGCTAGAATGCCCTCACTTCTGGGAGGCGGTGTTCCCTAAGTGTAGTATTTTGGGTATATATTTCATCTATTTTCCTGTTGTTTTAGACAGAAATTAACCTAAAAAAAATCCAAAGACCATGGGATGAAACCTGTGAGGTTACTTTCCAAATGTGCTTAAAAACCTGAGAAAAAAAAATTGGAATCACATTTTTAAAATTCACAAAATAACAAGTTCATTTGCCTTCTAAGTCATAATGGACTGACACAAATAACAGACCAAGCTTAGTCTAAATTACCCGAGAGGCTAGGGTTTGGCTTCTGGCTTGGGAGCAGGGGCGTACAAGGATGTGGTTAGAAGTAGAAGATGGTGAAAATGAAGAAGAGACAGCAGCCGTTTTCATTGTGGAGGTTGGGCCTCATGCCGATCTGATTTATGTGACCTGAACTTGCTGCTGTTGGCTAGTTAGTTGGTCGGTTGCTATTTGGGTTTTACTTTACTTGGTTGTTGCTGTTGTTGTTGCTGCTGCTGCTGTTGTTCAGATAACCTGTAATTGACATTAAGTACTCATGCTACGTATATTATCTTGCTAAGCCCAGCTAAGGGCTACCATAGTGACTTGGAGTCTTAAATGTACCAACATTGCCTGGAGTCTATAACTCAATGGTAGAGCATTTGCCTGGTCCACAGGATGCTCTGAGTTCAATACCCAGTGCCACAAAATAATTCATTTCATTCCGTTAACTACACCAATACCAAACTACAACATTCTTCTGGGCGGTCTCATTAAAGTGACCCATACTGCATGGCCTGTGAGGGCTAGCCAGGCCCACAGGTGCTTGGGAGGAAAACCCATTTCAAAAGCAGAACAACAACAAAATACATAAATTCCCAGCAGTATCCACACCAAGGCTGCAGTAAAATTAAACTTGAATGGTTTTTCCTGAGCTCAGAGATCTGGCTTGGTGGGCGGGGACCTTGGAAGTGCACCTGTGTTAGCAGAGGTGACAGGGTGTCTCCACACGCTCCAGCCTCTGGCTGCATGGGGGCTGCTTCTTCCTTACAGGGTGTTCTGCTGTGTATTCAGATTCCTCAGGCTGTACCAAGACAGGAGAGAAATGAATCATGCTCTTGAATGCATTAAATGCAGGTCTAAATTTAGGCCTCCTTTCTGCCTCTCTGGGTATTTTTACAAGTTTAGATAGTACTGGGGAAGCAGAATGTCCAGGACTTGCTTTTTACCATGACAACTTAATATTACCTAGGCATTTCCCCCTCTGAATTAAATATCCAATCTTCTTAGTGCGTGGGTCATTTTTTTTTTCTTACTGCCTGGGGCTTTTTCATCTAAAATTAATAGGTAATCTGAAGGAGGAGGGGTTTCTTTGTTTCATTGTTTTAATTGATTGTTTGATTGAATACAACATTTTGCTGTTAAAATAATCCTTGCTCTTTGGTATACAGGTTGTCATTGTGGCTTTGACTCAAACCATGTGTATGGAAAGTACTGTCCTGAATTACTTTCCTGTCTCCAATTAATTGTTCCTGGGTTTGGCTATGAAAGTAGGACAGCTCAAGTGTCTGAAATACACGTTCGATGGTGGACATAAAACACCAGGAGCCAGGAGGATGCGAGCTGTGCGCATCTCAGCTGTTTGCTCCAGGTCTCAGAACTCTGGTCTCAGCTACGGCTTAGTATTTCAGACTGACCTCTAATGGCTTCGGAGCACAGGGTTGCCTACCGGCTAGAGCATAGGGCGCATTACCCGACCAGGAAGCGCACTCTGGGAAGGAAAGCTTGGGCCAGTGCCCACTTTGGGGGAAAAAGAAATTGTTCCATGAGGTTCCGTTTTCACAAACTGCTAAGGAAGTTAGCCAATGCAGGGCTGTCTCTGAGAAAGTTGGGCCACACTATAACGGATACCCACATGACTTGTTTACTACTCCAGACTTGGGCTTATGAGATTTACCGAAGAACAGAGCTATCTCTTCATTAGGCCCCCGCTGTGACCTGTATGCGTTCTGCTATCATGATATCCACGGTAATTTCCTCCCAGGCTGGCCTCTATTTGGAGTCCATTCTTCATTCAAAGGGTGTTTTCTTCTACCATGAGCTGCAAGGCAAAGTCTGGGAAGAAACATGAAAGAGACATTGCCTTCGAGGAACTTACAGTTCAGGAGGGGGCAACCTGCCGTTGCCAGCCTATGGATCGAGGAGACCCTAAGCAAGGAAGTCAGTCAGTCCCACACGGAGTAGGAGCATGGGTGTAATAGATGAGGCCTTGCGGAGAAG